TTTGAAATATTCCATTTCCTTGATTAAAATAGATTCCAAAATTTGCACCAAGTGCATTTAGAACAATTATATCATTCTTGTTATCATTATCTATATCAGCAATACTAATTGACCATGGTTGATTTCCAGTTGAATATGGTTTGTATGAACTATAAGTGAATGATTGACATGAAACATCTAAATTAATAAAATAAATCATTATTTCAATGCAGAGATTAGGGTGTGAGTGTGAGTGTGGGTATACTAAGATAGATCTTTAGGGCCTTCATGACGTTTCACGATATTTTTGAAACTTTATGAGACTAAATAATTTCGGAGGAGTTGAAGCGCTTCACCAGTCTTTCTGAGACCTTAAAAGACGTTATTAGTGCTTACAACCGATATTTCCGCTCTTTTTTCTAGAGCAAACAACAAAGTAGATTTGCCAATACAAAACTGTGCGGTTCATTGATAGAGTTGAGCTAATAAATGTTACTGTGCAAATATTTCACTAGGTAACGTAAAAAATAACTTAACACTTGATATTATATAATGAATAGACAGTAACTCGGATTCACAGGCGCGAGGTCGCGTCCATTCTGAAATAGATGGAATTGTACAGAAAGCTTGCATACATGCGATTAGTAAAAGGATGTAGAATGAAAAAGCCGAGACAGGTGTAGGAATTACTTTTAAAGATATTTATACGTTCAGCATGATGGGATTAAAGTCCTCTATGGTAAGTGCCTTGCGAAGGATTAAAACTGGATGCTCCTCGTCTCTCTGAGTCAAAGAACAACTAATGGGGAACAAAATTTATTTGATGAACAATATTCTTCATCATACCTGTTTGAGCCAATGATGTTTGCTGCTGCAGAATGGGCGATGTCTGTGGCACCAAAGTCGATGAAGTATGCGATGGCAGACTAGCCGATGTCTGTAGCTGTAGAATGGGTGATGGCTGCTGCACCAGAGCGGCTGACGTCTGCGGCTGCAGAGTGGCCGATGTTTGTGGCTGTAGAATGGGTGATGTCTGCGGCACCAGAGTGGCCGATGTCTGTGGCTGCAGAATGGATGATGGCTGCGGCAGCAGAGCGGCTGACGTCCGCGGCTGCAGAGTGGCCGATGTTTGTGGCTGTAAAATGGGTGATGTCTGCGGCACCAGAGCGGCTGACATCTGCGGCTGCAAAGTGCCCGACGTCTGTAGCTGCAGAATGGGCGATGTCTGCGGTACCATAGCGGCTGAGGTCTGTGGCTGCAGGATGGACGATGTCCGTGGCACCGAAGTCGATGGTGTTTGCGATGGCAGAGAGAATGATGTATGTGGTTGCAGAGTGGACGATGTCTCCGGTACCAGAGGAAATGTAGTCGATGATAATCCACTGTTTGTTGTTTGATCTTAATTGATAAATTAAAACAGATGGAGAAAATACAACTGACTATTTCAATAATTATAATACCGGCAAGTTTAGATTGTTGACGTAAGACTATTAGTTTGATTATCAAAACACAAGCAATTACTAAACCGATTAGAATCAAAAGAGTAACACATATACGAGGATGATACCTCCAGATCCTATTATTCGAAAAAATGAAAATACATTTTTATTCAATCACGCTTATTTTACCTCCGGACTTTTGCACGTATTTGTAAACATAATGGCATCTTGACTGAAGAAAAACCCAGAGTACTTCTCTCTAATTTAATCACTAGTTTATGATTTTCTAAAAACAATACTGTAGAAATTCACTTCATAACACTCGATTGAATTAATTATTAATCTCTTTCATTTTTTCATATAATTTACATTCGAGATGGATTGGCCTGAAATAAGTGACCATTGATTTGATGATAACTAGGCATGTACCAAATTCAAACAGTTTGGGTTTGTCGGGTTTGGGTATATGAGTTTGGATATAGGTATTACTGTGGCTTAGACATCGAAGTTTTCCTTATCTAATTCAGATTCAAACCCAACCCTAAACTGAATACTCAAAGGGTCAAAAACCAAAAGAATTTGGGTTTGATTCATGTTCAACTAGGGTGTGGATGTGGATGTGGGTGAAAGACAACGGATAAGTTTGAACAGAGAAGTAACACCCACAATCACACCCACAACCTCAACTCATGGTCTTACAATATCCTAGAAGTATCAGCTCAAATGAATACTTGCATTTAGAAACAATGCATTTGCGAAAACTACCACTTTATCATAAAAGTATAGAGAATAGTTCGTTTTACAAACGACTCATCTCTTTCTGAAAACTTCATTCATTTAAGTTAAAACTTTCAGAATGTAATGAAGACTGTTAGATACATTATATAGAAAATTTCAGTCGAAAATCTCTCATTTTAGTTTTCTTACAATATCATACTAAGATCTATTAAAGATTTTATACTTTTAATAGCCTCAATCTCTTTCTAAAGTCACTACAGTAGAAACAGTCAAGAATAAGTATGAAGATCATCAAGATTCATTTATGTCCTATATGGTAAATAAAAATCAAGTCATATACACGTATCATTTCAATCAGAAATCAAGACTATGCACTAGTATTTCGATATTTACAAGTATAATAGTGAAGAGTTGATGATAGAATAAAAATACTTACAACAGTACGTTATATAGCTAAATAAAAAAATATTTATATATGAAAGTTGCCAACTCATTTTCTTTGTTTTAACCATTTTTTTTCCATAACATCTGGAAAATATGTGTTCGCCTGACAACTAAGAAACTAAATGATATTTTTAAAAAATCTCACAAGCAAACTGAAATGATTATTCTCATTTCTTATTATTATTCATTTGTTCAAGCTTGATTTTTTTGAAAGGTTCATCTATTCATCCTTTTACAAGATGATGTATTCGTATTTGTTTGAATAACATTCATCGTTTTCTAAAACATGTTCCAGTCAAGATGTTGTTTCACAAAACTCTACACCTTGAATTGCTCGTTTGGAGCATGACTTATACTATGATGAGTATTATTTACATAAATAAAAAATATATCATTTTGTAGAACATCTCGAAACGGATCTTTGAAACAAAACAGAGGCTTAGTGAACGAATTTGAGAAAAGATATAATTAGAATACTGAGAGATTCATTACTCCTGACACATTCATTAGTTTTCTTTCTGCGAAGTATAGCATCTGTATAGCGGCACAACTGAAAGTAGTGAGTTTGTCATGAATGCATGATAAATAATTCTCTCTCTCTCTCCTTTATTAATAGAATAGCAACAAGCGCAACTTGTTTTCTATTAATGAAGTATGGCAGCTGTACAGCGACACAACTGAAAGTAGTGAGTTTGTCATGAATGCATGATATTACTGACAATGCTGACAAACAGTTTTCTCACTCTTCATTACTAATAAAGCATCTATGATTGAAAATAGCTTTCGCACAACGATGAATGACAGCTGTACAGCGATACAACTCAAGCTAGTCATTTTTTTCTCAATGCATGATATTCTTAATAATACAAACAAACAAACAATTTGCTCTTTGTTCATTATTTACAAATAGCGCTCATTCAATGGATTTGCTGATACTTTTCTGAAAGAAACTTTCCTATGATTATCATTAAAATTAATTTTGATCACACGCTAACGAAAAAAGTTAAAAAACTGTGATATATATATACTGATTGATATGTCATCAACACCCGGTCTAATTGAATAGTTGTATTTAACGTATGAAAAAATGAAATTGATCTATTTTATATAGATAACACCCTAAATATTTACTATAAAGCTTTTGAATCACGAATAATGTCAGGTTTTCAATTGTTCGACGCAGATCGAGTTCATTATTTATTCATAGTTAGAATGCAGCAAGAGAAGTAAAAGCTGACAAGTATACAGACCCTTGTCTTTTTTTTGCATAGTTATGTTGATTTTATGAAATTTTCAATCATATGATGATGAGTATTTTTTATCACTAGAAATTAATTGCAGTTCGTTAAATAATTTGATAGTACCATAATTAGTTATCCTACGTTTACTACAATCGAATTCAGCTATTTACAAATAAACCACTTGCTGTACTCTACTTCAAAAGTCTCTTATTATAATCCGCAACCTTTTCGAGATTTTTATTTACTTTAGTCGTGATGGATGGGTGCGATCTACTACGAAGAGACGTTTAAAATCGTCTTGTAGAATGGCAATCAATTCAATAGTTTTTTCGATAATATTCCCAATCCGAAACTCGTTTCTAATATGTATGACAGTATTTGATCCAAATGCTTAGGTTGCTGGTTATACAGTGTGTGATAATAAAGAATAAAGCGAAATTTCATAGAATAACTCGATTTTATTCAATATTTTTATATCTGAATATGATAGTTCGGGATCGTCAGTCATCACGGTTGCAAGTTGAATGATGATATAAAAAAGGAATAGACTTATTTACCATTTAAGAAAACTCATCTTTGAATAAATATTTGTATATTCTTCAGATACAAAACCTATAACAAACATATTAATTCTGAGAATTATGCCTATTAAAAAAATTATTTTTACAAATATTTTCTGTAAAAAAAACCAACATAAAGAAATAGTCTATTTTCGATGCTTATTCATCAACATTTCCTTCAAATAAAAAACTATCTTTTAATTTAACATTTGGATTTTCTTCCACGTCTGCCCAAAATTTTCTTACAGGAAACCAATCTGTATGTTTTGATAATGTTAATACTCCAAGTATAGCAGGGTTATGATATAAATTTGATTTTTCAACAAATATTAAATCGACAGTTACATCACTGACAGCTGTTTTTTCTGGAATTTGAAAAAGAAATTCTTCATTAAATATTGGATTTAATGAACGTTCAGCTACTTTCGTTCGTTGAATATCAAATATATCAAATGGACCTTGAAAAACAATTTCCACATATGTTTCTAAATAAAAAGTGATAAATTTTTGATTTACAAAAAAATAAAAAACCTTTCATACCAGGTGCTCGTAAAAATCGTTCAGCTTGTGAATGACTAATTTTAATAATATTAATTGATAATTCATGTTTTGTAAGCCAATATGTTGCTTCAATTTCTACTTGACCAACATTAATACCACGTGAAAGCTTAAAATATATTTTCAAAAAAAACTAAACAAATTTTTCATATTTAAACTTACAATTTTATACGGTCGACAAACAGGTGTAATTTCACGTAGAAATATTCTTGATGAACCATGTGGAACATTTTTAACATGTAAATGTGCCATATCCCAAAATTTTGAACCTATATATTTATTAATTGATAATGATTCAATTTTCATAACAATATATAATTCAACATCTTGTTGAACAATCCAATCAGCAGCCCATAATTTTAATTGTGCTGAATAATTTGTTGTTAAATGTGATTCATGAACAGTTTTTTCTAGGACAAGTTCATGTTCAATTGGTTTTCGTACATGTATTTCACAACGTAAACGAAAATCTGATAAATGAAATTTAAATATAATATCATGTAATAATATACGTAAACAACTTTCATTTTCATCACGTTGTAATTCAAGCATTAAACAAAATTTTAAATAAAGCATATCCGATGGTTTACATGGATCTTTTTTAGCTAATTCTTTACGATGTTGATCAAGTGCAGCATCAAATTCAATGAAATCATGTGCTTCTTGAAAATCAGTTATTGGATCAATTTTTTCTGATTGACGTAAAAGATTGTCAACAGATGAATGTTCTTCGGATAAACGTCGTGCTGCAACTGGTAAGGTTTCATCAACACTAAGTACTTCACGAAATGATACTTTTTGTATTGTATTAGCTGCAGCAGCTAATGCACGTAAACCAACTGAAGTAATTTCATGACGTTGTCTTTTAGCTTCACTATGATCTTCAGGTGAAACAAGATATTCATCCATTCGTCTTATAATAAGTTTTGCTCGTTCAAATTCAGGTGATGTTTCTTGTCGACATTCATTTAATTGTCTTGGAATAACAAATGGAATATCATTTATACACATTATTTCGTTTTTATTTGCAATTAAATTGTTGCCAAACACTATTCGAGCCTAAATATAAACAAAGGTTTCTTTTTCTTTTCTTCTTTATATATACACAAGTAGTAACAATTCTATATGCTACATCTGATAAACATCATAGTACACTTAGGAATGGTTAATAGAGTGTTACATAATTGTATGTACGTATGTTTGTACAAAAAAATGTTAGACTCTGTTTTTCTTTCTATTAACAAAGAGTACTATGTATATGTTTTGTACATACTTCTGGTATAGAATCATTTTTCCACCGTTTCATTAAAGGAAGCCATCGTGTGAATCGATGCATAAAAGAATTGTTGTTATTTTGATTATCATCAATATGTATTCGATGTAGATCTGAAAGTTGTGATTGTGAAATATTTTTATCGACTAATATGTTCATTATTTTCTTCGTGGTATATTGATTCTAATATATATATTGGATGATAAATATTGTACTATAATGGGTTTTTTTTCTTGTACTTGATCCTTCCATTTTTCTTTTCTTCGTATGTATATATTTGCTCTGGATAGAATAATGTTACACGTTATTTTTTTATGAGTTTGTAAGAGAACAGATGAGACATCGATCAAATATATAAACGAACAAACGAGTAAATGATTGGTACGAAAAGGAATAAAGTCTTTTTTTTTCTCTTTTATTTATACAAAACTATTAAAGTATACGTGCAATTCTTTCATCTAGCGTACATATCAATGAATGTAAAATATTGAGAAAGAAAGAGAAGAAAAAGAGCGCCGAAGGTCTACTAGATTATCGTCATTTATAATTCTACAGGTTAAATAAATCAAATTTGATAAAGTTAAAGTATAAAACGAGATCATAGCGGATAAAACTTATTTTGAATAGTTAATTATTCTATAAGATAAACATAATTTATTATAGTATAAATATATTCGAAATATAATTGATATGACATCTGTTTATCGCATTCTGTGTTATTTTAGATAAACGGTAAAGAATAACTCTACTATAGAGTACCTAATTATCGACAAACATATCGTTTTTCATGCTTTGTATTAGATTAATCTATATAAAGAACTACTACTGGATCAAAAATCTACACATTTTATATTCGACAAACATTTTTAATGCTATTTAAAAATATTTTTTTTCGAAAACAAAAAATTTGTTTTTTTTATTTCATTCAAAAACATTCTCGATTATTAACAAAAGAAAAAAAAAGAAACCCACTTTATTCAGATATGATAATAACATTATAAACATAAAAAGTTCATATTAGTTAGAAATTCTATACCAAAACAGAATGAGATTTAATAAATAAACAAAAACAAAAACATTAAAATAAAATGTCTAGTAAAAAAAACAAAGGAAGCGAAGATGAGATTTATTTATAATTCAGTTGTGTGATGTACATTCGATGTTTGTTGCTGTTGGTTTTGTTGTAATTGAATATTAACAAAATTAATAATAAAATTAGTATCTAAATTTGCTATTTCGCTACCAGGAAAATCCTAAAAATATGATTGAAATAAGATGATTTATTTTAGTTTAAATAAAAATTTACTTGTCGTTTTGAATCAGGTGAACCTTTATAATATTTAAGAGTTGGATAAGCACGAATCGATGCTCGTTGACAGACTGATTGATGACTATCACAATTAATTTTACCAAAATTGACTTTTTCTTCAAAACTCTACACATAAAAATAAAATCGATTAAATTTATCTCTTTTAAAAATATAACATTACTTACACGTGCAATACTTTCAAATATTGGTGAAAACTGATGACAATGTCCACACCAAGGTGCTAAATATTAACATAGAAATATTCAATCAACATTCTATCTGATAAGACATGTAATAATCTCAAACTTGAGAGCTACCTAATCAGTCTAGACAGTATTAAGTACATACCATAAAAATCAATCACCCATGGTTTTGAATCACGTAAAACATTGGTCGAAAAATTCTTTTCATCTAATTCAATAACTTTACTGGGTAAATACTGAAATGCCCAATTTCGTAATGAATTTGCATCACGCCATCCATTATTATATAATCTAAACAACAACAAAAAACATTAATACATGTTTTCATATATTATTAAACTAACACAAAATTTTTTCCATCCATATTTGGTGGATAAAGTCGAATTGTTGGATAACTTTGAACACCTTGTCTTTGACATAATTCTGTTTGAATTGTACAATCAACTTGTGCAACATTAGCAATACCTTTTAAAAACTAAAAACAAAAAAAAAAAAGAATAAGTATTTTCGATCTTTATTCTATTTACTTTTGATAATGTTCGCCATTCACCACTTAATTGTTGACAAGGATGACACCATGGCATAAAAAAATCAACTAACCACATATCAGTTAAATTTTTATTTTCAATTAATTTAATATATAAATCATTATCTAATGTTATAACTGTTGGATGAAGTATATCATCAATAAAATTTATTATTGATTGTTCTTGATGTTGACCATGAAAATAATGTTGTGTTGATTGATTATACATTATTGTTGTTGGATAAGAATTTATACCAGATTGTTGACATAATTGTTGATGTACTGTACAATCAACAGTACCAAAATTGACTTGATCATTTACACGTTTTGATGCTTTACGAAATTCTGGTAATAAATGCATACATGGCGGACAAAACTAATATATTAATAAAAATAGAAAATCAAATGGATGAAATGTTTCTTTTTTTTCAATATGAATATTTACTGGTGAAAAGAAATCAATAATAAATGGTTTTGTATCAGTTTTTACTGATGGAAAATCCGAAGGAGTTAGAGTACGTAATGGTGAAAATGCATTATCACGAACAAATCCAGCAATATCATTAGATGTTTGACGACCTTTAATTCAAAATTAATTCTTTTGTTTTTCATAAAAATCGATATTTACCATAATAGAATTCATGATGTCCACTACGTTTGAATAAAATAAATGCAGGTTTCTTAAATATATATAAATCACTACAAACATTGGGTGATGATGAACAATCAAATCGACCAACATTGTAATCTAAAAAAAGATTTTCTTTTTTATAAACAATTATGACATTTACATTGTTTCTTTTTTGATACTATTCTAACCTTTATAATGCACCTGTCGAATAATAATATAGGTTCATGGGGTTAAAACAAACAGCTTTTTATAATCATTAATCCTTTGGTTAGGATTTATTTTAGCAATTAAAAAACTGAAGTGAGTAATAATTACTGACGTTTATCGATGAAGTTTTTCAAAAAAAGGTTGACAAGTGCAAGTTACACTTCTCTATTCGTCCACATTGTTGGCTAAATATATGCACCATATGTGTCAAATCATTTCATTTATTTATCTATTATTGTTGTTTTTTCACCAGAAGGCAAATGATACTTTATTATATTATCATTTGGAACAACTGTTATTTCTTTGTTTAATTTAGTCCAATTGTATCCGTCTGTCCGGTATGATAATGTAATTAAGGGATGATGCTCGAACTTCCTCGAATTGATACGAGTAGGAAAAGATTTATTATTGCTCCATTAAATATAAGTCTAATCCTTTTAATACCGACCGGGGATCATTTTTCACTACTTCCTCAATCGTTTGAAATATGAGTAGAAATAACTATCGTTTCTTTTCGAAGGGAGTTAAAAAAACACAGCTGGTACTGCAAAAGTTAATATAACCCATATCAAATATTTCTCGATCTTATGTATATTTTAAAACAATATTTACCAGTTAACATTGATGGTAATTTTCTTAAATCAAGATCTTTTTCACTATTTGTTTGATCAAAAAAATGAATTAACCATGGTTTAGCAACTGAACTTTCTTTTAGATGATTTTGTACTTTCTAAAAAAAACACAAAAATTTAATTTTTCTCTATTTTTATTTTTTTTTCTTACTTGAAGATGATCTTCCGTAACTAACGATAAATCTGGTAAAAGTGATAAAATTTGTGTAACAATTTCTTTTAAATTTAAAGTTGTTATTGAATAACTATCACCCCATGGAAATTTATCAACTTTATAGAAAAGTATAGGGCTTTGTGGTTTTAATTGTTGGCATACATCGGGATCAGCATGACAATTAACACTGCTGACTTGTACAAGATTATTCTAATATTAAATCGAAGAAAATAAAATTATTATCTAATACATAAAAAAGAAAAAATTAAACATACCAACATAACTGCTAATTTATAAACTTGATCATCATCTAAACAATTACCTTCATCAACTTCTCGACAAAAAGAAACAAGCCATGGTTTCTTATTATCAAATTTTTCAGTTCGAAACATTCGATCATCAAATTTAACAACATTAGCTTTAACAAAACTCATTGCATAACGAATAAGTATTTCTTTTTCTCTTGGTCCTTGATAAGTATCTCGCTTAAAATAAAATAATTTAATTTATTTGTTTTTTCAAAAAATATTCATTCTTACTTTTGGATAAATACGTAATGCTGGATAACCCTGAATGCCTTGTTCATTACACATCATCCATTCATCTTGACAATTAACAGCACCAATACGAATAACACCTTCAAGTATTTTTGATATTTCACGCCACTAAAATATTCAACGAACACACAAGACAATATATGTATATATTTCGTTGAATAAAACATTACCACTGGTGCTAAATCATGACAATGTGAACATTGAGCAGAATAAAAATTAATAAACCATACATCTTGTGAACCATCAACGGATTGTACTAAAGAGAAATATGAATAAAAAAGAACTATTATTCTTTTAAATTAAGTTCTTACAAAAATCTGTTCGACTGAGAGTAATAATTTCTGGATCTTCATCATAAATACCTAAAAAAACAAATAAATTTATATATGAGAAAAAAAAGTTCATTAATCAAACCAAAACTATGTTGATAAAAATTCCATGATTGATATTGATTTCCACGATTAAAATCATCTTTTAAACCTTCTTCACCATACGTATCATATTTCTTTCTTAATTCATCATCACGTAATATTTCATATGCACGATTTATTCGTACGAATTCTGTATGTGCATTAGGATCTCCCTAAATATAAGCTAATCTTTAAAAAAAACACACAAATCGTAATAATCTATTTACAGTTCGTTTATCTGGATGCTTTTCAAGTGCTAAAAGTTTAAATGCACGACGAATATCACGTTGCGTAGCTGATTTTTCAATACCAAGTAATTGATAAAAATCTTCTCCAGAATAGATCAATGTTGGAAGATAAATTAAACAAATTATGAACAAATAAATAACATGCGTAGTATTCATCTAGAAAGATTGATGTTTTAACTAGCCAGGTAAAAAACAAAATGAATGAATGATTGGTTTATTCTGCGTTGGCAAACATAATTCCGAACAGGATAGTTACACGTATGTACGACGTAGAAAGACGACAGAGAGAGAGAAAAAAGAGAACGAAAAGGGCGACAACATTCACGTACGAAAAAGTATGTTGGCGTTAGAATAGAATAGAATGAGACATGACGATCATTGACATGGATGCTTAAAACAATCAAAAGAAAACAATTAACCTTGAGCGAATACTTTGTATGGGCAGATTGAAAAAAATATACCATCACCTACCTTTCTCTCTCTCTCTTTTTTCTGCTTTAAGATTAATTTAAAAATACATTAGCAAATCAATAAGTAATTATGTTAGAAGAACAAGAAGAGGAGATCATTAGTTTTTCTATATAGCTGTCATGTAAGAAATAATAAATCACTTTTTAATTGAATAAATATCATGAAAAAAAATAACAACTAAAATACAATATATGGAATGTATGGGTGATCAAATAGGAAAATGAGAAAGATTGAAAGTATTAATGAAAAAAAAAGAATTTCTTTTATTGCTCTTATTGTCTTACTTTAAAGATATCATAAATGAAAGACTACTTTTTGTCAATACTACGAAAATTTTCTTTCAATCTTTCTCATTTTGTCTTCTATTTAGACACATTTAATTAGAATAAAATATATTATGCTTTAATAATTTTTGCTAGTTCTTCATAACTTTCTTTTGCTGCTTGCATAAAATTATTTAATTCTTTTGGTATATATGATGAAACTAATAAACCACATTGATCATCATCAATTAAATATCCAATACCAAATCCATCATTAACAACAGGACCAAAACCGCCAGCTGCAATATGTTTTGATGCAACAGTTGATGTTGAAAGAATTGTATGATTCATTAATTGATATGATTTATCTTTATAAATTCGATGTAATGCTTCTTTATTTTCCATTTCTTGTAAATATTTCAATGCAAATAAATGTCGATCAAAACCTTGTCCTGTTGCTGCGTCTTTTATTAATTGTTGATGTTTTTCTGAAGATTTTTTTAATAAATCTTTTTTCAATTGATTATCATTTGATTTTGTTAATGTTTCAATAAAGCTTTTCGTTTCATTTGTAACAGGTCGAATAGTTTCTGTTCGACCATGTTTATAAACAGCTGTTGAACATGATTCATAAGTTGAAACAAATCGATGATGTAATTTATAATAAGCCATTTGAATACCTAATTGCATAATAGCATCAGGACTAAGAGCAGATTTTTTTAATAAATTTTTTCCTAGAACAGGCTCTTGATAAACATCAACATTAAATTTTGATACAAATTCATTATAATTTTGTTTTGATGTTTTAAATTCATTTTTTAATTGATCATCTAATTTAAATTCAAGTTTTTCAATACAATCATATGTAGTTGATTTAATTGATTGATAATTTGATGAAGTAATTTTTTTATGTTCATTTGCATCTTGATCAATATCATTACAAAAACGAAGTAGAGCAACACCATCACCCCATGAATGTTCACAATGAAGACCTAATGTACCATCGGATAACATAATCATATTAAATGATTTATCAAACCAACGATTTGATGCATTGTTACATAAATATTTTCCAGATATATATTTCGTACGTTCTTCTTTACTAAGAGATTTATTTAATTTTGATGGATCATCTTCATCTAATCATCGAAAAAAATGTTAGATGTTTTTAAGTATTATTACAAATTATTCACTGCTAGTCTCTTTTTTTACGAAACAACTGAACATAATTGAATCTAAACATTGAAGTGTCGATGTAAATCTCATTTTGTACCTAATACGATTTAACTTTTAAATACCAGAGATGAGCATAGAACAAGGTACCCTGCCCTGGCTTAGGACAAGGTAACAAAACTATTTTTACCTTGCCCTGACATTTTGTGGGACAAGGTGAAGACTTTGTGCCCTGCGAATTTATACGTTAAATTTTTATATGCAGAAAATAGTCTTTTGATAATACTCATTGGTTTTTGGTAAAATATAGTATAAATCACTATTAATAAGAAATAAACTAGAATAAAATTATCCCCAATTGAAAAATATAAAATACTAACCTAAACATACAACCATAATTGAACTATCAATTTCTTTAAACATTTGTTTATTATGTTCAGATAAAGTTTCAATTTGTTCACGTATTGTTGCCCATCTATCTCTTTTATCAGCTGTAAAATATCCAAATGGATATTTATTTTCTTCTTCATTTAAATCTTCACATAAATATTTCATAATTGATGCTAATTTTTCTGCTGATAAAAGTTCGCCATTTTCTTCTAAAATATTTACTTTATAATAATGACCATGTTTAATAACAATAATATGTCGAATATTTTCATTATTGGTTTTAAGTATATCACAATCTTTTTTTGGTATACGTGTAGAATTAAATAAACGATTATATTGTGACATATCTAATGGATAAGCTTTTTGTAGAATAGCACCATAGAATGAAAAACTTTTTGGTATATATTTAACCAATTTACGAAATTGATCATTATTAGTTTTTTTTGGATTTAAATGATAGACTTCAGGATCAAGTGTATTAGCTCGAAGAGCATTCATAAAACGTACAGATGATATAATATAATTTGTAATACGTGCAGCAGGTTTTAATTGTTGTTGATCATCAGTTAATACAAGAAAAAAATTAAAATTTAATATAAGTGGTAAACGAGATTTTAAATACATGTCAAACCATGGTTTTGATATATATGATGTATGACGATTAGATTGATTGATTTGACGTAATTGTGCGTCAAGTCGTTTACCATCACCTGAACGAAAATCTTCAACTAATTGACGTGTTTGTTCAAATGATTTTTCATCATTGTTAAGTATTGGTTTAACAGCAGATAAATAACGTTCACATGTTAATTCTAATTTTGGTATTGGTAAACGTGGTAAACTATATTGAAAATGATCTGTTGGTAAAATACTTGCTTTTAAACAATTGTAATCATCAGATTTTCTTTTCGAATCCGATGTTGCATAGCGATGAATACGATAAAGAAATCGTTGTGGTTTACCTAACGTAAGATGACTTTTAGTGAGCATCTAAAAAGGATAATTAAGATATTGAAAGGAAATTCTTACAATCTAATCAATATTTAGGTATCATTAATGATAATAATTGAAAATGAATCAGCTAAAAGTATTCTTATAAATGGAAAAGAAATAGTTATAATTAGTAGTTTTCATATTATAGATTTATCTTTGAAATCAAGTCGAATTAAAGATTTTCTCTTTTATTGTTTCTTAATTTTATTAATATAATTCTTCAGATAATTTAATATTTCTTAGTAAGAGCGATTATATGATCATGACTTATTGAGAGTTTATAGGCTATATATATATCAAATATCAAAGTTCGTTGTCCACATGAATCATAAAATAAATCTCTGTGCATTGATTAGTTATCTATACATGTACTCATGAGCAAGTACAATTGATGTCGCTAGTATCGGTCAATATTTAAGAAGTATATAAGATTAGATTAGTTAATACATCGATCTTCGTTTTTTTAAACAGAATTAAGAATTTTAGTAATCTCTTGTATACACTTAATTAATAGTTTGATGAAAACTCTTTCTGTTGTTTTTATAAAAGCTTGATATAGAAAGTAACCTTATGTCTCTATCAAATATATTTACAAGTAGAATCCGACTGAGTTTGCTTATAATTTATTACATTTTATGATATCAGCAAATACAAAGATAAAACGTGTATCAGACCTTGTTAACTTTCTTCATATTAGACCTTTTATCATATCAAACATCATACGTTTTTGTTACATCTTTTTATTTGCTTACTGATGAAACAAACCGAAAAAAGTTAATCTATCGAATAATTTTTCTCATTTTAGATGCGATTAATAATTACTAAAGATTATTCAACAGTGTCCGAATGGGGTGCTAAGTATATAAAAAAACGAATCAATGATTTTAAACCAAGTGCTGATCGATTATTTATACTTGGTCTACCAACGGGTAATTTATATTATTTTTTATTTATTCATAGTTAACTATTTTCTTTTTTTCGGTCAAATAGGTAGTACACCTATAGGTACTTACAAGAAACTAGTTGAATTTGTTCAAGCTAAAGAATTATCATTTAAATATGTAGTAACTTTTAATATGGATGAATATGTTGGATTACCAAAAGTAAGAAAAAATAACAGATTTTTATTTAGAGATATTTTTATATTAATCTAAAGGATCATCCTGAAAGTTATCATTCATTTATGTGGAAACATCTTTTTAAACATATTGATATCGATCCAAATAATGTTCATATACTTAATGGAAGTGCGCCGGATCTTATAGCTGAATGTGAACAATATGAGCAAGCTATTCGAGATCATGGTGGTATTGATTTATTTGTTGGTGGTATTGGTCCTGATGGACATATTGCTTTTAATGAACCAGGTCGATATTTTTCTTATTTCATACTTAAAGAGATTTATTTTTATTATATATAGGATCTAGTTTAGCATCTCGTACTCGAATAAAAAGTCTTGCACAAGATACAATTGCTGCTAATGCTCGATTTTTTAATAATGATATAAATCAAGTACCAAAATGTGCATTAACTGTTGGCGTTGGAACAGTCATGGATGCAAGAGAAGTATGTAATACTTTTAAACAAACAATACATTGCATATCTTGCTCTTTAAATAAAATCATCGATATTTTCATTTCATTTGAGTAAAAAAAAAAGTAAGATTTTTAATCGTTTTTCTTAAATAAACATTTCTAGAGTACTTTTACAAATCGTTAATCGACTGATTGAAATAGGCAATTCATAGAGTTGAGTGATGTATTCTTACTTAACTACCACTTATAAAAAAAAACTATTACTAATGGAAGTTACTTAGACGAGAGACAACTTCCAGTGGAAACTGAGTCAAGTGTCTAAATCATTTTTTACATCATCCAGGATCTTAAATAACTAGCGATATCTTTTTTTTCTAGGTAATGGTATTAATATCGGGTGCATCGAAAGCCATTGCTCTTCATATGGCAATTGAAGCAGGTATGAATCATATGTGGACAGTATCAGCATTACAAAATCATCCAAAATTTTTATGTATATGTGATGAAGATGCAACATTGGAATTAAAAGTTAAAACAGTTAAATATTTCAAAGGTTTAATGGGTGTACACAACAAATCAATTGAAGAAGATAATAATTCTTCATAAAAAGTTTTCATCTATAAAATTAATTTATTATGATTAGTTGTTTGTGGTTTTTTTTTGGATATTAGTTAATTAGTAGTAATAATTGTCTTTCGAGAGATAAATAACAATGAGATTATAGTAAAAAAAATAATTTTTTTTAGTATTCATAATAAAATGGCGAATTAAACTCAATAGAAATTGAAAAAAAAGATTATACACGATTTTTGAATTTTTTGTGTTAAACGGGTACATATTTTGTTACACCCCATTTATGATTAGATCGTTCACGTCGTTGACGAAGAAGATGTGAATCAATATCTAATGCAGATTCTTTATCAATTAAATTTGATTTTAATCGTTGTCCAACAACTTTTAATGTTTTCAATTGTTTATTTGTTTCTTCAGCTGATTGTTGAAGATTTGTTGTAGCCTTAAGAAAATTACAAAAAAACAACGAATCAAGTTTTATTGAAGAACGAAAAAAATTTTTATTTACTTTAATAGTCATTTGAGCTTCGGATACTTGATTTCCAGGATGCCGTTGAAATGTTCGAATAATAGGTCGATCAAGACGTTCAGATATTTTCAATTGAGATGAACTAACCGGACCTGAATTTGATCGGTATGCACTCATACTTAAATCATGCCAACGTTGTGCACGACTTTGTGCAAGCATATTTTCACCAACTGATACTGTTAAATGTTGCTATAAGTATAGATATATTTATTAATTTAAAAAAAAAGAGAGGAAGCGTTCATTTTTCTTACTGCTAATGTTATAATATCCGCAAGTTTTTGAGCAATACTTTGATTAACAGTTAATGTATAAGCTTTTGCATCGTTAAATGCATCTTTAATTTGATTCATTGCTTGTTTTTTTATTTCACGTGATTCATCCATTAATTTAGCTGCATCATCAAATGCTTGTATAACATCAGGTGTAAAAGCTTTTAAATGACCAACAGTAGATAAACCATTTTCATCAAGTAATTTTGATTCAGCTGTATTCATACCATGTTGTGCTCGTAAAGCATGTGCAGAAGTTGATCGAACATTAGCAGGTATAGGTCCTCGACGATGATATGAATTTTCTAATCTAAAGAATATAATGTAATAAATAAAATAATAGCATAAAAACTTACTTTTCAATTCGAGCTATTTCAAATGCTCGTGATGCACTTGTTAAACATTGACATATAAGTTCTGTCACTAATGAACGTTCTTTACTTATTTTAGCTATACGGTGACGAACTTCATCAAGTTTCTAAAAATGTCGTTATTAATTATAAGAAAAAGAATTTTTTTTATCAAACCTGCATTTGATCAATAACATTTTTGCAATTTTGTTCCAAGATTTTTTTTATATTACGTAAATGATATTTTTCAGCAACAAGTATATCATCAACACCATCCGCTTCCTATAAAATAAATAAATAATAGTAATTTTAAAAAAATCAATTTAAAATACCGATTCTCGTTTTGGTTTTCTCCGCATATTAACACTTTCTCTATTAATAACTAAATCTTTTCGAATATGATCAATAGCTGCTTCAGTATAGTCTTTATGTTTTAATAATGATTTGATTTCTTCATTGACATCAATCCAACATAAACGTAATTTAGCAACAACAACACGACATTGACGTGCATAATTAAATGCGTCTGCATTACTCAATTCACTAAGCATTTCACGTACATGTGGTAAGGGATCAATACCTTAATTAAAAATCAATTAGATTTGATTGCCTGTTTTTTTTTTTGTTATCACTTATGTATATTCTCACCTTTGCCATAGAGTATATTTCGATCACTTTGTTCCATAACCTTTGCATTAACCCGAACATCATTCATTGTTGCTTCTCGCCAATTATCATTACTCAATAAACTACGACCTAACCGTTGTGCTTGTTGACCTCCCGATGCTGTTGCTGGTCGGAGAGGTTTCACTACTTCGTGTGGTGGTGATGATGGTTGTTGTTGTTGTTTTGTTGGTTGGAGACCATCGAATGTATAACTTCTTGTAAAGAGATATTTTTCATTATTATTACGTTGATTATTATCATCAGTTAATGATGGTCTTTGCCTTTGACATGATGTACTTGGTCGCTGTAAATTTGTCATATTGTCAAATTTGTAATATAGTTTTATTTATTCCATGAGAAAGAAAAAGTTCTTTTTTTTATAATGTGTATATATGTGTTTGTTAAACAAAGAAAACGCTCGATAGTCACTAAAAATTCTCTCTTCCAAAATCGCTGTCATAGAATCAACCGTCATTGATTTCTACTTTTTCTCTCAATTTTTTGTTCTTTTCTTTGATAGGAGACATTTTTTTTTCTTTTTTTTTATGCTAAGACATGTAACAACCACACTTATTTCATTGCTCGAACACCAAACATCCACTAACATTTCATTAGAGAAGCCCGTGGCAACCAAACTACGAAGCAACATGTCGATGAGCGGCCGTACACGTTGCTGGAATCAAAAGCAATCGCACAGATATTTATTATTATTATTACTATTATTATTTTGATTACATACATCTTCTTTCTAGCTTTATTCAGTTTACAATTACCAGAAAGTTTTTTCTAATAAACAGACATGCATTTATATAATATTGTAATAAATAAATGAATGATGGAATATGTTTTAAATTTATTATTATTTTTATATAGAAAAAATAGAAAAAAAAACAACAACTTGTACATATAAATTTTACAATTCGAATTAAAAGAACAAAAACAAAAACGAAAAAAGTCAAACAGAATTAGTTTGTTAAGTTGATGTATAATAAGGATATTGAGTTCGCTCTTGTTGCTGTTGTTGAATAAATTGAGACGAATGTTTTGGTATAACGATAGGCAAACTATCGACCGGATTATGTATCATCATTTGATTATCATCAATATCACTTGTTATATCTTCAGTATCACCATTCAGTTGATGTTGTCCAGATTGTGGTGATGATGAAGATAAATGATAATGACTTTCACGTGATAGTGGATCGATTAAAGTTGATACAGGATAAAGTGGACGATGTCGTTTAAAAAATCCACACTAAAATTTTAAAAATATCTCCTCTAGTTTCCGTGATATATTCAATAATAATAAAGATATTCAATATATATCTACATATGTTAATAATCTGTCTGAATATAAGATTTGTCCTTTATGAAAGAAAAAGTCCCGCTAAATATCACTTAGGAAAACAAATTCGAGGACAAAATGATCTAGATAAATTGTATATCTACTAAGATATACACTAATGGATTACTTGACAGTTTGTTTGACAAATAGATTAATCTCGATCTATATATTACTATCGGTAGTTAGATCTATAATTGATTATTGTTAGAGTATAAGCACATTGAATTCAAGTATCTGCCTTTCGTTAATAGAATATACTTTAAATTAATGGGTTTTTTTTCAGTGTAAAAATATTTCTATTATAAACTATAAATTTTAAGATGAAAAATCACCGGAAATACTTTTTTTTTTGGTTCATTAAGTTTCCTTTTTCTAAGTTGTCAACACAAACAAAAACTTGTCGACTAAATATATTTATGCGCAGCTAGAGTTGATTGAACTACTCAAAAAGCGAAGCCATCACATCAACCCTGTCATTTTTCTCGATCAACTAACTGTCGTGTGCATCGCTAGTTTTTCTATCCTGACAAATCTTTTTTTTTCTAGAGCTTCTCGATTATACTGAGTCCTATTTCGCCATATATATATATATATATTAACACATCGACATCTAATAAGCAATGAATTGCAGAGGCATGTACACATATGAGATTTTTGGTTAAAACAGACAAAAAAAAACTCAGCCAGCTGACAATTTTTGTTGTTGTTGTTAATGCTGTTCTTGTCATTATCATATATTAATATGATTATTTAAGCATTACTAACATACATTTAGTTTAACTAACAATACATATTCAATAGTAGACTTAATAATATCAGGTAATGAATAATTGCTTCGTTTGTTTTTTTTTCTTCATAAACAAATTGGGATACTTACACACCAAAGAACACCGACTAAAACAATCAAAAGAATAACTCCGGCAGTAATACTAAGACCAATGAGCCAAACCCAATTTTGAGATGAACGTTCAACAATAGGCGGTATTTGTGTTTCAAGCTAAAAAGAAAACAAATAATCAGTAAACAATGAAATGAGAATCTTTATTTTTTTGCTGTCAATTGTCATCATATCCTATTATATGTAATCATGATGAGTAATTCTATTTCCTATTTTTTCATGCTAGATTTTCTTTTTTTCTTCTTCTTGTTCAATTGTTCATTATCTATATCTTTCTCATTTTTACTTATACATCAACCAAACAAGAAGATTTTTAGCACGTAAACATTTACAATAGAAACAAATTGGCACGTCGTTACATAATTGTTCAAAAATATTTTTCCTCTTTGACTAGGATTTCTTTCATCGTTTTTATATGCAATATTCTCGTTATTTTCATCCGTAAAAAAAAGAAGAAGAAGAAGAAAATAAAGAAAAAAACTTAATAGAAAGAATTTATGAGATTCATACGACATACCATTACCTGTTGATTAACAACTACAAAAGGATAGATAAACACTCTAGGGGGAGAAAAAAAAGAAACGATGTATAAGACTATAAAAATAATCTTCATGACGTTAAAAGATTAAGTGCACAATCAACCACTTGTTATGCATCATCCTTCCCGTCTTAATCATCATTCTTTTCATTTTTTCCGTTTCTATATTGACAATAATTCCACTTATTATTAGTTTAAATTTATTTTTTTTTTCCTTTTTGTCTTATTCTATCAAGGAAATAATTATGATTTAAAACAATAGGTCTTGCGTTTGTAATTATGATCGATATAATTTCACTTAAAACTCTTTCTTTAATCGATCAAAACTTTTTTTCTAATTTCTGAATAAATAATTTTGTTATTTCTCGTTTTTTATTGATGTATTTACACAATAAACAATATGTTTCCCGACAATTAATCGTTTTTGTTTTTCTCGCGCTCTCTCTCTCATTCATTCATTATAAATTCTTCCTATTTTCTGACCGATGAATCTTTGTTTCTTGCTTCGTATATGATATTTATATAAACTTATTGTCGTTTGTCATCATACAAATAATACTCTCTAAATGAATATAGAAGTAGTTCCGTTCGCATTCGCAATTCAGCAAATGTTTTCCTTCTATAAACGTTTCATTGCTGCAATTTCTTGTCAAGGTCTATTTTAGATATATTCAGGACTTCTCGTTTTTTTTGCTTCTCTCTACTAAGTATGAAAAGAACATCTTTCTATTCTTTAACATTACAATCATAATCATTAAACAATAACAAAAGAAAGACCAATATTATTTTCCTTAGAAATTTATTAAGCTCACTCTTTTATACTGTTTAGAATTTTCTGTTGACACACTACATCTACGCACAAAAAAGGCATATTCAAGCTATTTCTCTAGTGATTCGCTCTTCGATCTTTTCTCTCTCTCTCTCTCTCTTTCTATCTGTCTCTTTTTCTATGCTCATCTTCTTTTTTTTTTATGAAACAAAAACATTATATGAATGCATCTGTATTCATGTCCGTACAAAGACAACAATATCGATAATAAACTATCAATCGATTTTTTTTTATAAATAATAACAATATATATTTTCGAAATAGACATTAATCAATTTTATCAAAGTAGGTAAAAAATCAATAGATTATTTGTGTGTGTTTTTTTTCCTAAAAATAAAACCAACTTTCAATAGAATTATAAATCAGTACTGGTAATAATACAAAATATAGTTATCGACTACATTTCAATGTATTATGCTTCATTGATCCGTAAGAGAATTTATCAAATTGTTATTCAACATTACTTTCTCTGTAGTTGTATATATATATATATAAATATATCTATACTTGTGATGTAGGAGTATTCATATAATAACTTTATTAAAAACTATGAACAAAGGACAATAGTATTTTCTTTTCTAATCATAGTTATTATTATTTTTCTGCTTCTTCATTCATGTAAACGAAAAAAGAAAGCATACATAAGTATAATATTCCCTATTCGTATTCTCATTTTATTATTTTTCTTGTATTTTTTTTCTACTTATATTTCCTATGTATGCATAGTGCCGTTGTGGGAATTGACAGACTAATTACGTTGATTACGGACGTGTTCATATAACTCAAGAAAAAGGAAAATTTGCGTTGACGAAATCGACCAATAATAAAAATATGTGTAAATCAAATAATAAAGGATAACACATTGTCATGAATAGTTTGTAACAGACACAATTATCATAATTATGATGATAAGGATAAAACTTTTATTATTTGTCGTTATTTTTCTATACAATTAATAATATACAACATTCTTAGTCTAGCTTCTTTTTTTCTTCTTAGCTGAGATCTGGTTAGTGTAATTAGTATGACAGTTGTGCTATTTTTAACTTTAATAAAAGATATCTGATTTAAAAATAAATGAATGTGAAATCTTATAGAAAGTGACATAAATTATTTGATAAAAAATTAGTCAAACATAAGCACTGTGTTAGAGTATGAGATATAATAAAATTTTCTCTTGAGATTCAGTGTGTTTTTCTTTTGTCTTCTTCTATATGAATAACAATTTTAGTATGTGGAAATAAATGTCAGATGATTAGTGTCAGTTTCTTTTTTTCTTTTTTTTTTGCAGCAAACAAAAAAAACTATATTTAATAATTTTGTCGCAAAGTCACTAACCACTTAAAACTGTTGACTGTAATTGAAGGTAGGTCATTATTTAAACTAGATATATTTCCTGTCTGTGTTCATTTTCTTTTTTCATATATTGATAGTTTAGTTCCGTTTCCTACTTATTTCATATTTTATTTTCTTCATCAATGAACATGTATAATAGTACTAGTAAAGAGCAAAAATCCAACTAAAAAAAAGCCTGATTCTTTTTTTTCCTCCTCCTCCTTCTCTTCTTCTTCTTCTTCATTTTTCACAACCAATGTTAGTAATCGAGGTTCTGATTTCTCTTTTCTTATTTTTTCTTTTCTCTTACTATTCACTCGGAAATAACTCGAAAGAACCGGACTTTCCATCATTGTTATGTGTGTATATATATATATATATATTTGATTTTCTATGCATTAGATAATACATACATATATATATATTTATATCAGTTATTTTTTACATGAATTCGAATGGCACTGCATTGCAATGAATCAAACATGGACCGGTTTATCAAATGCCGATAAAATAGGCACACGTTATGATTTTAATAATTTTTTATTAACTGCTGATCTTTTTCTTAATAATACATTACAAATATCAAATGATATAAATGTAGGTTATCAATCATTTTTTTCTTCATCAACAGTTGCATCTCGAATAAATTCGAATAATTCAAATATAAATCAAAGTTCAACTATAAATCCAACAGATACAAATGGAATTTCAACATCAGTTATAAGAATTATTTTGACATTTTTAATGTCAACAATGGCCTTATTAACTGTCTCGGGTAATTCTTTAGTTATTATTGCATTTATATGTGAACCAACTATACGTACATATTCGAATTATTTTATTCTTAATCTTTCTATTGCTGATTTACTTATTGGTCTTATATGGTAAGTTAATTCGATATGATTTTTCTTAACACAAAATATGTCTTATTGACTTTGAGTACTGCTCTAAAGTGATCCTCTACTTCGTGAACTATCTAACTTCATAGAAAACAATGATTATATCATATGTAATTAATATGCTTTTTATCTTGTTGAAGGGTTTACATAAAGTTTATCATGCTATTTTCTGCCAAGTTGACATAAATATAGGACTTCCTTTTAGAAAATTCAAAAAATCATATAAGAAATAAATTAACATTTTTCGTGTTAAATACAAAGTCAGGTTTTGTCATATTTAATTATTTATGAATAAACCTACGTCGTCCCATATCTAAAACAGATATATGTGTATGATTGTCTTTTACTTGAAGACACTGATTACTATGATTGAGTAATTTATTTCTCATGTCTAGCTGTTTTTTCTCATAGAAAAACCGATTCTTTAATTTAACGTCAGAAATGATTTCTATGAAATAAACATCGATCTTTCTAATAGATATAGACATTAATGAATTATATTGGGATTTTATATAAATAAAAAATTATTTCTAATTTAATTTAAATATATATTATTTTTCAACAGTCATAGAAACAACTAATTTATTTTTTATAGTATTCCATTATATGCTCATAAAATTATCTTTGATGGATGGCAGTTGGGTTATATATCATGTAAAATATGGCTTGTTTTTGATTATTGTGTTGGTTCAGCATCAACATTATGTATTGTTGTTATATCTTATGATCGTTATCAAATGGTATCAAAAGGATTAAATTATATGTCAAAAACGACAATTCGACGTGCATTAAAATTTATGTTAGGTACATGGTTGATAGCTACACTTAATTATGGTAGGAAAACTGAATAATTTATTATTTTATTCTATTTTCTCTCTCTCTTAATCCATCTAGCTCCAGCAATATTATTATGGGATTGGATGCCTAGGAGTGATCCATGGTATCATCATTCATGTGATCCACCATTTGCTAACAGTTTTGCATATATAGTGACAACAGCATTTGTAGAATTTTTTGTACCATTTTTTAGTATAACAACACTTAATTTACTTGTTTATTTGAATATTCGACAACGTTCACGTGGACTTATACGTACTAATAAGAATAATCCAGCAGATTCGAAATCAACCTTATCAACTCATATACCAAAAACAAATCCTGCCGCTTTAGAAAATGGTTCTAATGGAAAAAATGATCATAATGATGAACAAGAGCTTATTCAACTTCAATCAACAAATAATACTCCATTACCGACATCAACAACATATTCGAAATCATCATCATCAGCATCCTTAGCACGTGATCGTAAAGCAGCAAAAAATTTATTTATATTCGTTTTTGTATTCGTTCTATGTTGGTGTCCATATACATTGTTAACTCTTATACGTGCAGCTTTAAATGAACGAGCTGATAAGTATATATCAGGATCTGTCTATGAAATAACATTTTGGTTATTATGGTTAAATTCAACAATTAACCCATTACTTTACTCGTTTCTTCATGTTAAATTTCGTGAAGCTTTTTATCGAATATTATGTTTTTATAGAGTAAGACATCGTCGCCGATTATAAGAGTATTAAATATAATTGCATAAAAAAAGAAAATCTCTACGCATAAAATTTAATATTTTCTCTTATCCGGATTATTTAATAAATAAAGAAAAGAAAAAAACTAAATATATAACTATTACTAATGATTTGTATATAGATATTTCTCTATGACGCGAGAAAGGGAATGCAGTGAGGAAATGAAAATCAGGAAAAAAGTGTAATGTATTAATTATGTATAAGAGAAAATAATTGCTTTTATATATGCGTGCGTTTTGAATAAGAACATACCTTTAAATAAACGATTGCTTGTGTAGTAGATTTATTTGAAGAAATTTTTAAAGGAATTTCTCGTACTTGTGCACTAGCATTTGACATAATAAGAAATGGTTTTGAACGATCAAATTTCTATATAAAAAAAAATTAAAAGACAAAATTCGTATTTTTATTTCATTATAGACGATAAATTATTGTTTGCGAAGAATTGTTTAGTTTATGATATATAAGTTGGTTGTCCCTAAGCTATTACCATTTTGTAAGCAATTCCCTATAGACCTGATAGTTTCATATGTGATCTGTTCAAATATAAACATTAATATTTATATAATTGCAATATAATAAAGTATTCACAATGAATAATTAATCAATTTTCATTTATGATTTTTAGATTACAAATGCTCATGAAAAAATGATTTGCTATTAATTACATATTAAATATCATGACAAGAAGTCAATGCCTTACGGTTCAATATAAATCCTACGGGTTATATAATAATTTATAATTTTAAAAATAAATTTCGCACTTAATAATTAGATTTTATGAACGAACATGTCCTTAAAATTAATTTTTACTCATTACGCAACTTATTCACAAATTCTTTTTTTTAATTTAATATTTTAATTAAAAAATATGAACTTTTACTCTATTAATATCTTTTTTTTCATAAATATGTCACTGAAGGTTTATGGCAGAAATATTATTATAAAGTAATTTCTTAATATGAAAATAAAAAACTAAATCTAGTTTTAAAAATAATAATTTCCCGAGGTAATGATTTAGTATTAGTCTAACAAAAAATCCTAATACTTTCATATTATAGTGTTATTTCAAAGTCAACACTGACGTAATACACTAGTACCTATCGCGATCAAGGACATTTTTTGTAATATATATTAAACTTACAGATTGAAATTGATTTAATCGTAAAATAGCTTTTAATTGTATTAAAACACTATGACCAATAGGTAATGTATCAATATAACAAATAAAACTTTTGCATAATGGTCCATGACAATAACTTGGTATAGATAATTCTTGAGAACGATGATTTATACCAGCATTGTCCATACTGGGAACATGATTTATAGTCTAAATAAATATTAGTTATCTTTTTAATTATTGAAATATTTCAATTACCGATTGATATATATGACATCGATCAATTTTTGCTTTGGGATCTGATACACGAATAATTGATGGAAGATGAATTCCATATAATAATGGTTGTTGATCATTAAATCCTGATATGGGTAACATAGGCCACATTAATTTAACTTCGGTACGTTTAGCATCACTTGGCCCTTTATTATGTAGCGTATATGTATGTACAATTTCAAGATCATTTGTATGTTTTATAATAGTATTATCAGTTGAATCTAATGCTATTTGTTCTGGTTTAGCAACACTGAAAATTACCGAATAAAAAAAAATATATAATTATTTCGTTTACTCATACCCAATGAATACTAATTCAGGTGAACTTGAAACTGGAAGAATTATATCTGTTGTTATTATTTTTGAATCTGGATTATCACTATATTAAATAATTATTTCATAACAAAAAAAAAATCAATTTTATGTTTCTTTTACCTTGTTACATTGATTAAAAATATAAGTGGATCTGTTTGTATAGCAGAATAATTATTAACAGCTGTATGAATTTGTATTGCAATCTTTAATTAAAAAAAAGCAATTCATTTCTAATGAATCTATTCCATATGAATACGTTTAACTTACATTTCCGTTTGCTAGAAAAGGATTACCAAGATGACATATAATTATACGATCAGATTGTTTCATTAAATTACAATAAAGATTAACCTGAAGGAATAATTAAATGTACAAAATTTAACAAGTAACGCTCGTCCGAGGACTCGCTTAGCTCTTTCTCGTAGAAATCCATTTTCTTCGCGTTTACTGGAAAAACAAATAAAAAACGTGAAAAATTTGTTTTTGATATTTTTTTGACCTATGAACTCTTATCTCCATACGGTCACCCAACAGACCTCAGATTCGAACTCCCTGCATAGAAAAATCTTTAGAAATGTCTTTTCCAGAAAATCGATTTTCAATGTTTTTTTGACCCTGCGGACGCGCAAGCAAACAATTTATGTCTACTGGACTTTTCTCTACAAGAAAGAGAATAGTTAGTTTCTATACTTTTGAACTTGTATTGGAATTAACATATTCAACACCAACAGGAAGTTGTATTAAGCATTTTGTATCATATGCATTTTCACCTGTATTAGTAACATTAATATTAAGTAGAATTTTCTTTGTTAAACCGATTTTATAAATATCTGGCCAACTAGAAAAAAAGACAAATAATGTTTTCAATCATATTAAATATATATATGTTTACTTTGATGTTGTTAGATGTAGATTTGGTATACAAATATCATCGTAACCACAATCTTTTTGAATCGGAATCTAAAAACAAAACAGACAGATTATAGAAATGTAATATAAGAAAATTTCTTTTACGTTATAATCAAATGTTGAATTTGTTGGATCGAGTATAGATGGAACGATATTTGCATCTAATTTTGATGAAAGTACATAATTTATTTGTAAACGAATGGGTTTAAGTTTATCATTGACATCATCCTAGATTGAAGAAGGAAATAATAGAATATTTGTTATTGTTAAAATATACCTTCATATATAATGAATAATCATGACAAATACGATCTGACATTTTAAAATGTCGTTTTTTTATTGATTTAAATGATTCTCGAAAGAATAAACGTTGATCAGCTGGATTTTTATCTTTATCAAGTTGTAATTCATAAGTTAATGCTATAAAGAAGAAGCAAAATAATAATAATTGTTACAGATTTAATCAATACTAACTATCACTTTTTGAATATTGATAATTTTGTTCATTCAAATAAATGCATACAGTCAATAGAAAACTATAAAATTGAAAGTATTATTAAAGAAAATTTAAAATATTTTATTTTGTACCATGAATTATCACTATGTAATGTACAATTGAGTGGAACTGAGGGTGAATTATGTTGTAATTTTGTTTGAACATGTAATACAGGTCGTGAACTTAGAAAATAAAAATTCAAATAAATAGATATATATATTTAATAATTAATTTAAATAATATACAGAATGATAGCGACTGTTTCCGTTCGTACACTGCTAACGGCTAAATCTATAATTTATAGTAATAATAAACAAATAAAGATTAATATTCATATAAACAATAGAGCTATTTCGAACCTAAATAACCATTATTATCATAGTCAAATTGACCTTGTAATGCCCAACCAAAACCATTTAATGATGTTGTCTGTAAAATCTAATAAAAATGATAACAAATTAATACCTAAGAATTTCTTTTTTATTATCTTGGATTTACTTGTGATGGTTTTAATATTAAACCATCTTTTGAACCACGATAAATATGAACCATACTAGATGAACCAGAATTAATAAATGGAATTGAAATAGCTACATCTAAAAAACCCAAATAAATAAGTCTTATATTTAAATAACATTCTATTTTCTTATACCATTATAACCATCTTTATCGATATCACCTAGATTTGCTAATGCATGTCCTAATCTTCCTCCTTCACGTGTCCCTTCAATTGTTTGTTTTTTTATTAGATTATGCTAAATAATATCTAATATAAACAAATCATAGACTTCAAAAGAAATAATATAAACCTCCGATGTTTGATAATAGATATCCACACGTCCTGCATCTGGTAATATTCGACCATCTTTTTTAACCGTATATAAAGGTGCACCAACTAATAAATCATCAAGTCTATTGAAAAAAAAGTAGACTAAAATAATTCTATTATTTATATATTTATACCCATCATTATTAATATCAATAACACATAATGATGCACCAAAATATTCTCCTATTTGTGTTCCATTTAATGTTCGAATTGAATTTTCATCAAGATTACTGTTCATTATTTCAACTGCTCCACGATAATTATGTAATTTTGGTATACTAACAACAATTTCTATTCATCCAAATAGAATATGCAAGACTTTATAATACAAGAAAAAAAATATTTTACCTTGATTATCATCTTCATTAAAATTTCCTACAGCTACAGCATAACCTTGAAAAAAAAATAAGTCATTTTTCTATTTATAGGATTTTTATTTTTATATATTATACCTCGGTAACACCAATCATCATATTCATTTGCAGAATAATTTGTTGGATATCGAAGCCAACCAACTTCACGCCATGGATAATGTGGTGCAATAAATGGATGTCGGGTATCAATCCAATTATGTTCAAGAATTGGAAGTGAATGTATTCCACCTATTGAAAAAAAAAATTTTATTTTCTCTTGAAATTACTTCGATTTTAGTTTTACCTCGAAAATAAAATGATCCTGGTGCTGATATTATTATACGTTCTGGTCTTTTACTTAATGCGACTTGAAAACCAAATTCACCATAACCTTCTTGATTATAATTACGAGAATCTAAATATTATTTTACTATAGAAAATCAATATAACAATATAAAAACATACGCCAATTGAGAAATGATGGTGAATATATTGTTGTACTATCAGTCATTGCTAATGATCTATCGTATTTACCAATTGTTGCGCCACCAGGTATTTCATATTCAAGACTATGTCCATCATTAATACGATGTTTAAGAAATGGTGAACCAGCCTAACAATAGGAAACTATTAAAATATATAAATAGAATTTTAAATTTACAATAATATTATCATTGTTAGCTGCCAATGAAGCACCTAGCCATTGATCTGTTTTATTATCAAATGAAGTACCAACACGAACATTAGCTTCACCTTAGAAAATTTATTTAAAAAAAATTTTTTTTTTGCTATAAAGAAATTAATTTCTTATTACCATCACGACGAAATGGTAAACGTTGACATTGACCATCTGATTGGAATTTACATTTCCATACTGCACCTCGTCTCGTTATTGTATCATATGGTGAATGATCACGAGGTGCACCAATTAATACACTTTAGATTAAAAAAAAATAATTGCAATTAAATTTATTATATATTTAATATACCTAGAACGATGAATAGCTAATGAATAACCGAAATAAGATGATAATTTTGATGGAGTATATGTTGGTTGTTCTTGTCTTAAATATCTCCAATGTTCAACTGTTTGATAATTAAATGAATAAAGTGAATAAAATAATGATGAAAATATAAGAATAAATAATAACATTATAATTGTTTAATTGCTATCTACTGTTTTTATAATGATCGATAAATCAACAATACTGTCATTGTTTGATTCAAATCGATCTTGATTTATCATCTATAGAAGAATTAAAAAAATGAAAATTCAAATCGAGAAGAAGTATTATTAAAAAAAATAATCCTTGTACTATCATTACTATTCAACAAAATCGCTTTTAGCTATTTTTCTTAACATACTACTGTATATAAACAAATGTATAATCTTCTATAGATCAAGAAAGGAAATCTGATCTTGAATATATAACAAAAAAGAAAGAATGATTAGAAATAGTATTTATACAAAAAGAAAAAATTACATGCAAAACGGTGATGATAGAAATGATAAAATAATAAGATCATAAATTTGATAAGAGTGTTTATTTAATATTATTATCTTCAATGAGTATAGTTATTAACAGTAAAATCAAAATGTGTGAAAATTGATATTATGTCTTCTTCTCAGGAATGATGTAATCTATGAGTATTGTCACGCCAATTCATTCTTTCTGATGGATATATATGTATAAGAATGACATATAACTTCTGTATTAACCTTCACACTTAATTTGTCAAAACGTCACTTTTGTCTTCTTACCTAATTCTTTGATTCTTCAACTCGATTGATGACGCGTGCTTGTGTCGACAGGTATGTATAACTATAAACATAATGTGACTAACTAATAGTAATATAGTTATAACAATAAGCATACGATATATGTAGATATCATTACGTATACGGTCAAGGTTCAAACAAAAGAACTACTATATAAGAGTTTATGTTAAATATGTGCAAAATAGAACGAGAAAAAAATCTAAATATATTGACAAGATATTTTGACTCAAGAAATTGATTTTCTTATCATTAATCAAACAATATTTCTAGTTCATCTCTATTCATAGAAAAAATGTCAAAAATGAAAAAGATAAATAACATGACAGAACTTTATCAATGATCTTTATATCAAGCAGTCAATATATTCATGTCAAAGAATATGATATCTCATTACTTACGAATGAAAATTTTTTGTATGTAAGGACTAATATACTATAATCGTATAATATAAATGCAAGGCTAATCGATGAAATATGTAAGGAAATAATCGAGGATAAAAAAGAAGAAGAAGCAGAAGACATATTCTTTTCTGTCAATTATTATCGTGTGAAAATAGATTTTCAATGATTATCATATACGTAAGAACTATGTGAGAAATAACTCATTGGATTGTGTATGCATTTGTTTTTTATTCGATTAAGTGATTTTTCGATCATTCCTTCTATGTTTAAATATATGAGAAAGAGAAAAGAGCGAGAGAGAGAGAGAAAGAGACAATGAATAACAAATTTTTGATTGTTGTCCTACTTTCTTTGATCTAAATAAATTGAAGTCGGACTGTAAGAATACAAAATATTCACAATATCATTATGAGAAAAGGGAAACCTTTGTGATGAATAAGTAACTAATCACAATACTGCGTGTCTGTGCATTCCAACGACAAGTAACAAACAGTGATCAATGACCTTCTCATGAATGAATGAATGAGCTGACCAAATAACGTTTGTATGCATACTAAGAAGTGTTAATGGAATAAGTAATAAGCGATGAAAAAAGATAAACGTCAGAGACTACTTCTGTTATGTTGAACTATTGTAAGGTTCAAATATGCATATAATATATATATATAAATATAAAATTGAAATTACCTCTATTTCTTCCTCTTTTGTGTTCTTTCTCTTTCTTCTCAATGATATTATAATCGGATTCAAGTGAAACTTAATGCATGTAGAATGTGTAATAGTAGTGAAATAATAACATATACATATATTCTCTATCATGCTGTGTATGAAATACAAGTGATAATCATTAAAAGTTAGATTGATATATGTAGTATACACAGTAGGAGAAACGGTGACGATATAGTCATGCTGAATTGAACAGACAATTCTCTAATGGCAGACATTGGCATTTCACTCTCGTTGTACATATGTCTAAAAAGAATATGAGACGAATTTCCCTTAGGAATAATCCATTTCTTTGAACATTTTTCTCGTCTTTTTTCTGTCTCTTTCCTCCAGATGTGTATTTCTTAATAAAACACTAGAACGTGATGTGCATGTCTCATGTGCGACATCAACCGGATATGTAAGTTCGATATATATATATATATATATATATAGATATATACATTTATTGAGAATATTACGGTTGATGTAGCTAACGAGTCCAATATTAACGCCAGATGCTCTCTTCACTCTTCAGAACTTATCTATATTGGTTATGCAAGTTACTCGATCTTCTATCTTATAATCATCCAAATGACCTTTTTTTATTATCAATCACAAGGAAAAAAATACGATTAGGGAAGGACATTCTGCCCATTGAATATCCTATTTAGTTACTTCTAGTTTTTTTTTACTTCTCAATCTTACTTACTTGATCGTGCTAAGAGTCAATATATTTGCTTACGCTAAGCCGACTTGTGATATGTATACGTTCATCAACATAATTTATCCATTATGCAGTAACCTAACAAGAGATTGATCATGGCACAATATTTGTCAAAGGAGAATATATACACAAATATATATATATAGGCGCGTCTTCATATTCCCATTGACGGTACCAACAATGTTCAATATATACATATGAGATGGATGTTTGACAGGAAGAGCAAGAGAAAAAGAACGAGAGAAAGAGTGCACAAAAAGCTGTAGTAGTCTATACATATATATATATGTATAAAAGTGTGGTTAAAGGAATATAGAGTGCTTATAAACAGAAACTATGATGACTGCTACTGCTTTACAACTGATGACGCGATGATGGAGATGATAATAACGATGTGCCGCAAAACGGGAGTGATTTTTTTAATGGAAAAAATAGCACGCCGTTCCTCTCTTCTAAAGAATATTGATTGCCGTCGTTTTTCTCTCATCTAATACAGTTAACACTATTATAACGATAAGGTTGCATGCAAGTTCCCATTGTAACAAAAGAGAGATGATCATCATTATCGTGTGCATAGAAGAAAGCAAAACAATATTTATATCTTGTACTGAACATATTCTACTTAATATTTGTAATTATCGATCCGTCACACAAAGAAAAAAGAGGAGGGAAAAACAGATGATTGATTACTACACATTTGTGTTCAAACAAAAATAATTTAGTAAGTTATTTTGTATGAAACATTCTTCATCTGATAAAAATAAATCAAAGCTATTTATAATATCAATTTCAAAGAAGATATATTTAAATCTGTCAATCATTATTCTCATTGTTATATCTACTATGTCTTGTAGGAATTAATCATGATGATTATCATCATCGATGTTAAACAAGAATAAGTAACGGATTAAATGAAGAAGAAAAAGAATATTAAAAAAGTATTCAATCATTCTTATTTTCAAGTATTTTAACATCTGTCAATATGACAAATAAATAAAATGAAATGATTAGCACATGCCATGTCAATATATCTAAATATCTCAAGTAATGATGAATAATAGTAACATGACATATTCTGTAAACTTACTCAGGAAAAACAAAACTAACTACTAATAGTGATGAACAGAGCAATCTTCAACCTCATTATATCTATGCAATGCTGTCTATGATCTATAGTAATCTTTTGACATATATATACAAAATGAGATATACTGTACAAAAATAATCCTCCTATCATCACATCCTGTCGTGATCTGAATCTATTTATAAATATACAGAGTCCAGTCAATTTAGTTTGATTGACTTACCTGATTGACTCTTATATCCTACTTCTTCTTTTTTTTGTATATACATATACATATATGTATTTATTCGATGCCTGTTCTCTTTTTTTCTTCTCGAATGATACAATGAAAGATCATTATTAGAGACAAAAGAAAGAAGGAGAAAAAAAAAGAGCATAAAAACAGAACATAGAGCATGTTTATTGATCAATTCAAGCTGAACACTACTACTAGTCATAGGTGATGTTCGGGCGAGCGTGATAATGAGGTGTATGGAGCAATCACGCGAGATACAAATTGTGCTATGTCTTGTTCATTCGACAAGAAACATATAGATCAACAAGATCATAAGCTTTGTTCATATGCAAATATGACTCAAACGCGACCAAGCAACTAAACCTAAATTATAATTAATTAATGTATATATAGTTTTTCATGCATGTATAGAAATAACTTAACAAAATATATTTATTCGAAATTTAATCATCGAATTTTTAAAAGACTAATAAAATAAACGTTTAATTTATATACAATCATCTGAATGTCAAGTAGACATTTTTTTCTATGCTAAATTTTCTGACTAGTACCAATAGAGATTGGTGGATGTCATTTCATAAATCGATTAATTATATCTTCATCTATCAATTGTATGTCTGTTTTTGACAACAAGCACTAATGAACAGATTAGGATAATTAACTTTTTCAATTATTTTTGTCGTCCTAACCTTTGTATGATGTATAACATTGCATTTGTGATCATAATTCAATCTTTCAGATATTAATAATCATAATACTAATAGCTGAGTTTGATCTACTACTACTAACTATAACAATTGATTATTTCATAGTATTCATAATTATATTAATATTCGTATCAATTTTCGAAATCATATCCTACTGATAAGATCTTCTTTCGTGTCAATATTTTATTAAAACAAGAGAAAAGAACACATTATAGATGATATTTTAATGAATAGACCGATTAGTTTTTGTTTTTATTTTTAAAATATAAAATAAATGATATTATACATACGGAAAAAAAACGATAAATATAAATAAATATATATATATATTAATGTAAGAATAAATCATAAGTGATTACATCACAGAATCTTTAAAACAAAAACGAATCACAAATCAACGAAAACGGGAAGTACTTATTAAAATAATTAACCTGTATCATTATTATTTTCTTCAATTGACGACTCAGGTTTATGTTTATAATCAACAAGAGTTTGAAGAGAAGCACCATCAAATGTTAACGTACCATCTAGAACAGTAGCAATCTAAATAATAAGTATAAGAATAGAATTAGTTTTAAAAAAATATCTATAGATAATTACTTGTTTTAATCCAGATAATTGAATATGTAATTCATCTTCATTTGGAATTCCTAAATCACATACTTGTTTCTGTAATCGTTCTATAAAGAGAATAAAAAACTTAATATGAATATATATTTAAAATAAAATTTTACCAATAAATTTATTCATATATTGAGCACAACATTTTTGTAAACGAATATTATCCTCAAATCGTTCACGTACTGTTTTTTCAACTCGTGGCTAAATATATACATTAATAAATAGATTATTTCTAATTTATTCGAAAGAAAACAACATACATTCATTTCTGAATCTAGAAAATTATAGGACTCGGATGATTTGATCATTTCTGACGATGAAGTATTATTCGAAGAACTATGCTTTATTGGTTCCATTTGGTTATTCATTTGAGGAGGTGATACTGATTTTCGTGCATCTGCTATATGAGGACGAATCAATTTTCGTTTTGGTGTTGAAGCTATCGGTATACGTTGAAGTTCTTTTGCTCGAGTGGAATCTTCTAAAGAACGGGCAAATAAAATAAGATTTATTCTAAAAAATATAGGAACAAACCTCGATCATTTTCTATTGAATATAGTTCACTTCCCTCTGTTTTTCGTATTGATGAAATAATCGGTTCGTCAGGTAAGAGTTGTATCTGAAATAGAAGTCCAATAAAAAAAAATATTAAATCCTTTCTTGTTACTTGTCTTCCGGTTAAATTAAGAGCTTTTCGAATCACAGGTTCAATATTGGTAATAACATTTTGTTTCATAAGTGACTGCAAATAACTAGTATGTTCTAGTTCTTCTTGTTTTCCAACTAAAGAAAAATCATTTGTTTGATAAATAAAAAAATCTTTCCATACTTATTTGTCCGAGTTGTATTAGAAGCGCGATAAAAAAATAATCCACAAATCCAAAATGTTCATCAAAACAAAAAATCACTGTCCAAAGATCTGAAGAATAAAGATAATTTTTTCATTTATTAATAAATATCATTCGAATGATTTACTCGGAATAGATTCAAATGGAATTTCACGTCCAAATAAAAGTCGAAGCCAACGTCTATAAATATTAACAAAAAATTTTATTTTCTTTTATTTAAAATTAATCTTACATGCCATAAACGGTTGGTTCGATATTAAATTCTTGAAGTTTATCATGTAGTAATCGATCATAAGTTCTTAAACGTTCAAAGATTGAATTCATTCGTGTCGCAGAATCATTTATTGATATTTCCATATGATTCAATCTTTGAAATGGTATTAATTTTTTCGTATCATTCACACTCTTACTCTATTTCAATAAGAAAAATAAAAATAAATTTCAATTAACTTTGTTTTCTCTTACTTTACGCATATTTGAATTGTTTTTTGTAAGAGCATAAAATTGTCGTAGATGTTCCATGATTTTTTCAAATATTCCACTATGAAATTATATAAATTATACATCATTCATATATATATAAATATCTACTAAGCATCATGTTCAAGATATTGTGAATCATATAATTTCTTCATTAATTCATTGGATTCTTGATATTCATTTATTTTTAAACTTTCCGAACAAATAGCATATACAATAATACCAAGAATTTCATGCATACCCTAAAGAAAATTTTGAATAGAAGAAAAAAAATAATCTAGTAGAATTATTTTGTACTTGACGATATGGTATTGTTTTATGATGATGTCGACTATGATTAAATAATATTCGTAATTGAAGATCTATCATACGTGGATCACGAAAAAATGTTATATCTGGATAACTAGAAAATAAATTGAATAAGAAAATCTAGATACAAAATTTCTATTTACGTTCTTCGAACATCTATGATAATAATTCCTTTAAGTTCTTCGTCAGCAAAATATTGCGCCCATAAACTCTACAATAAATAAGATATTAGATATAATTTCTATGTTTATGTTTATTACATTTTCATCATGCGAAAGTGGATGATTAACATTTTTTGTATCATCATTATTATCATCATTCATCTTATATGGATCAATTTTATATTGATTAACAAGTTTTTCATAGTTAATACGAGATGTATTAAGCATTTCATTCCATTCATTTGAATCACGTGGTAGACAATGTAGAAATATACGCCATAATACAGTTGTAAAAGAACATTCTATCATATGACGATCTAGAATAGCTTCGCGAATAGATTCATAATTGAAAGTATCGAAAAGACGTTTAAATTCCGATCTAATTAAAAATAATACATCAAAGATATAGTTTATATTTCATTTTTTGTTTGCTTACAGAAGAGATGGATGATGTTTTTCCTTATCATTAATGGATTCAATTGATGTTTCTGCAGGCGAAGAAGAAGATGATGCCTCAACTAAAAACATATACAAAGATAAATAGACAATAAGAAATATCTAATCATTAACATACATTGGGGAGATAAAATTGTTTGTTCAGTCAAAAGTTGGGATTGTGATGGAGGTGGTGGTGGGGGTGGCCGTTGTGGTTTTGGAATAGCGCGTTCAGTATAAGATTGCATTTTATGATTTGATATCATGGAAATGGACGACATACTCGTTATATGAAAATGACTATACTCGAGTTTATTTGATTGTACATTTTAACAAATAGTCTGAAATCTATAAAAGAAAATTTTTATCTTTTACTAATGAACATATTCATTCGAATTTATAACATTTTCTATTTTATTCTTTTCTTTTCTATTAAAAACAGATTTGTTATCAGTTAATATTTGTTATTCGTTTGTGCTTTTCTCTTTTTTCTTCTTTTTTTTTGTTTTTGTTTTGCATGATTATCATTCGAGAAAAGTAAACTTCAACATTCTTCAGAAGGTCATCGGAAAAGAAAAAAGAAAACATGCGTTAATATGTAATTATTTGTTCTAAAATTTTTATTATTAAAAAAATAATTGTCCTTTGTTTTTTTTCATAGCTCAAAAATAAAACAATAGCTCTTTTCGATGTGACTAAAACTAAATAGAACAGATTTTTGTTAGTAAAAAAACATGTTTAGAGACAAAATAAAACACCAAATAAGCACAGTCACCAAGATACATAATTTGTTTGTTCATCCGACATAAGTAAAACGAAAACAAAAAGAAGGAGATTACAAATCTTATTGAGATATTTAAAGCCAATGTGATCCTGGAGATCGATTTACTTTTAATATTTCATTATAAGTTAAATTTAATGGAATATTTATTCGTGCACCTATTAAACCTTTTTTTTCAATGGAATCTAATATCATATGTCTAGAAAAAACAAGAAAAACATGTATTATTTCTACATAAAAAAATTCTTATTATTTTACCCATCTCCATATTGTATAAACATAGCTGGAATGTGAACATTTCGTTTAGTTGAATCATCTATCATATCAACGAAAAGATTATCTGCTCTACGATCATTATCCATTACAATTACACCTAACGCATTACTTTCTTGTGCATTTATTACTTTTGTTACAAACGAACAGTCACTAAAAAGAAAGAAATATATATACATTAAGAGAAGTAATTTTAAGCATACCCGCGTTCAATTAATGCAATATTATCTTTTAATGCAGGTTGATTTTGTAAACGACTACATCCTACTATTGGTTTCGCTGGTATTAGATAGATATCTTTATGAAAATGTTTCTATTAATAAGAAAAAGATAAAACTACAATGATAAATCGAAAAAGTTGTAGTTATATATGAAGCTAATTAAATGAAATGCAACATACTATTAGAAAAAATATGAGCTTTTTAAAGTTAGAATATCAACTCACAAAATTGCCACCAAAATTTTGTGCTCTTCGACATCGAAATGTATAACTAATATCAGCTAGGAAAAGAAAAGCAAATTTTTATATAATTTCAATTCGATTATAAGATATACATGGTTCTGAAACTTCGAATAAAATATCATCATTATAATCGCTCTGAGAAAGAATGTTCAATGGTAGAAATATTGCAATAATAATTTGAAAATATATGAAAGACATATTATAGCAGTTAATATTATCTAGAAAATAAGATTGTATTATTCTTATAATTGAATCTTAAATCATATATAAATTTATTTTTTAGAAAATGTATCCACGTAAATAATGATCTCTTTTTATGAATCATTTCATTTTCAATTAAAATATTTCAATAGAGACCTTCTTAAAAAACTATTCATATGATACGATCTCATGAATAAAATGTACTAGTATGTATATCTATGCATAGTTCAATATTAAATAACGTAGGCGTTACTCTATACTTGTTTTATTATATATTACATGTACTGTTGCGATGTGTGATAACGAAGAGTAAAAAACTAGTGGCGTAACCAGCGTAAAATAACCATCAATTATATAGAAGCATACAAGTACTTTCTATCGAAAGATAAAATCTTAGAATTGAAATATATAAAATATTTTATAATTCTAGTAAAAAATTAAATGATGGCAAAAGAGATGATCCAAAACTAGAAAACTCTCAAATGTAATTGTTATTTAATTCATCTGAATCTATATCATCATCTTCATAAGTAGTTATAGAATATACAAGAAAATAAATAAAAACATATATCGTATCGAAAGCTAAATGATTTACATACGATAGTAGTAAGATATGATTTTAATGTTTATGTAACGGAACTTCTGTATGCTTACGTTAATAAATATTGAAATAGGAATGAACTAGAATTTGTGTTTCAACAAGATAAATATACACACATATCATTATTTTATTACGAGCTTAAATAATCAATGCCAGATGTTTTTTTTACGAATGACAGTGAACAATTATTGAACATGTTTTTGAATTTATTAATAGAAATCTATAATAGAAATACCAATATTTCTTAGTCGAAGTGTTTATCATATAGATCCACATTTTATGAAATCATAGTCGAAATGTCAAGATTAAGATGATGATGATGACAACTAAATTGTTGATAGTTTTTACTTATCTTACATTGTTTACCAGAAATGAATTACAAGATAAGAACACTTTTTACAAAAATAAACGCTGATATGACAACGAAACCTTATCTTCAGAGTTTAGAGATACAATCAAAATTGCAACAAAAATCGATTTTCAACTTTCTTCACGTTTTGATACATCATAATCAAACCAATAAACAAAGTATATATGTATGAATCATTCTCATTGGTACAGTTTGAAAATAAATATCAATAAAATATCTTTGAAAAATTAATTAAGAAAATAAAATATTTAAAATGTTTTTATTTTATTCGTCTATTAAAATATTTTTATAAATCAATATTCAAAGTGCATTGCTATGCATATTCATTTATAATGTAAAAATAAACAACATGGCCGTCGTTATATGTATACTTTTTTTTTTCTTCTTCTTCTTCTTCTTGCTGATCAATCATCACATTAACAGATATGTCTTCCAATGATTCTAAATTATTTTCATCCATTAAATATTTTACAACTGGCTTTCGTGATCCATCAATTGAAACTGAATTTAAAAAAAATGGTGCTATACGTTCATTTTATTTAACAGAAAAAACAACGCATGTTATATGTGATGATTTTGAAAGTAATAAAGGTGAATTAGAACAAGCTATTGAAATCTATCAAACACCAATTGTTACATCTGAATGGATAACAGCATGTTTAAAAAATAATAGTTTATTACCAATTGATTCATATCGTAGTGCTGATAGTAATATTAATGAAGATAAAACAAAACAACTTTTTCAATCATTAACATTTGCTAATGCTAATTTAATTGATGAAGATCATAATAAAATCTATGCATTAACAACATATTATGGTGGTCGATGGATTGCAAGTTTAGATAGTTTTATATGTACACATATAATATGTGCATCAGCATTACCAACAAAAGATCGAATTGGTGATGCTAATAATAATCATGAACATACAGATGAACGTCTACAAGATGCATATGAAATTCAATCAGATAAAGTACATTTAATAACACCAGATTGGATTCTGGATTGTATAAGTGCGAATCATAGATTTGATGAAGCTAATTATCATCCAGATTTACTTAAAAATTCAAATGAATCAATGGATGTTGATGAAGATGACAATGATATGGATATTGGAACAAATGATGAACGTACATCGACAAAAGTAAGTTATGACATATATCTAAACGACTCTATTCTTCTATTTAGGATATACCCCAAACAAAATCTTTCGTATCAAAACGATCATTACCATCGTCAGTACCTCAACGTACTTCAAAATTTAGTTCATCAATAAATCATAATGGTCATTCATCTACGAATAAAGATGGGAATAATAGTTCCATATTACCATTTGAAGAAAAATTAATTCGTCCATCTGTTTCAGCAAATCTAGAAAATTATAAAACAAATTTACAATTATCACGTCATGCACCACCCGAAACACAATCCTATGAATTAAATTATTCTTTACAAGATAAACATGAACAAATACCTTCATCACAATGTCTATTAGGTTGTGTTATATATATTGATGAACGTGAATATTCAACAACGGTATCAAAAAGTGATTTATCAACATGGTCACAAACAATAACAAAACATGGTGCTATTATAACGGCTGATATTTTAAATTTAAATTTAACACATTTTGTTTGTGCTTATTCAACGAGTGATCTTTTTCGACAAGTTTCGAAACGTGGAAGTGTTCGAATGGTTACAGCACATTGGCTTAATGATGTATTACAACGGAAAAAACTTTTTGTTCCAAATTTAGCTATTCATTATCCATCTAAATATGAACCGAGCGAACCAGATAAATTACCATTAGCAAAAGCTTCTATTACAATTACTGGATTTGACGGTATGAGTTAACTACTTCAATCTATTGTAAATTTATTTTGTCTTTAGGTCTTGAACGTGCTCGTCTTCGTTATATGATTCGTTCATTAGGTGGTAAATATTATGGTCATTTAGGTCGATGGCATACACATGTAATTGCACATGAAAGTGGTACTAGTGAAAAATATCTCAAAGCTTTAGAATGGTCAATACCAGTTGTAAATGGTCTATGGTTATCAGAATTATTTTTAGGCAATACAAATGCACTTAAAGATCCATTAGATGATCGTTTTCGTCGTCTTAGTGGTACACCAACTGTAGATCATTTTTCATTTGATCAAAGTTTTGTTCATGAATTACTTTTACCATGGTCACAACCAATACGTGTATCCGATGAACTTCTTAATACAGCATTACGTCGTCATAATGATCAACAATATTCATCATATGATAATGATTATATGAAAAGTTCTTATGATTCAACAAATCCATTAATTGATTCATCGATAACAAACAATGGTCCATTATTAATAATGCTTAGTGGTTTTAATGCCAAAACATTAAATCATTATGAAACAATAATAAAATCTTTAGGTGGAAAAATTTCAACCTTACCAAATTATACAACACATTTAATAATGAATAAATTTTTACGTACAGAAAAATTATATGAATGTATGGGTTATGTATCATATATATTAAATAAAAAATGGTTAGATAAATGTAATGATGCTAATAGTTTTTTATCAATTGAAGAATCTGATTGGTTACTTGATGATGAATTAAAACCACCACGAAATTTATTAAAACAATCAATTGATAAACGTTTATCAAGAAAAAATAAACCATTATTTACAGGTTATACATTTTTTTTAACACCAAGTGTTCAACCATCACAAATAACATTAAAATCAATCATATATTCTCATGGTGGTAATGTACGTCGAGAATTTCCAACAATAAAACAATTAACAACACATGATGAACAAACCAAAATACCAAATTGTTTAATTCTTACATGTGATATTGATAAATTATTATTAAAAGATTTACATAAATATAATAATACAGATTTTGAAATAAAAATTTTATCTATTGATTTTGTACTTGAAAGTATTGTTCAACAAGAAGTACTTAATATTGAAACATATGTTGTTAAAGCATAATTTTTTCTTTTTCTTTTTTTTTCTCCATTATATTCAATGTGTAGATTCATATGTAAAATCGATTAACATACAGATATATCTTCTTTTTGCTCATGATTAAATAACATTTGTCTGATATTTGTATTAACTTTTTTTCGCTTATATTGCGTCTGTCATATATACGTATCGATATTAATTGTATAAAAAAATAAAATAGAAACAAAGTTTCTGTTGTGTGTATGTGTTTGTTTGAGGAAATAAAAAACAAAATAATTTCATGTGCCTTTTTCTTTTCTTGTAGATGTTTGGGTTTCCTACAGATTTATTTGGTATGGGTGGTGGTGGTGGAAATAATCGTCGACCGAATAGTAATTCGTTAGTACCACATCATCAATCATTATTTGGAAATTCTTTGATGATTCCATCACCATTTGGTGGTATGAATAATATATTTGATGATTTTGGTATTAATTCTTCACCATTTGCAATGATGGATCGAATGATGCGTGCAACAACAAATAATTCATTATTTCTTGGAGGAAATAACAGTACAAACGTTGCACCTATGCATTCATTTACATCAACAACAGTAATGTCTTTTAATGGATCTGATGGACGACCAAAAGTTTATCAAGAATCAACATCACATAGAAGAGGACCTGGAGGAATTGAAGAAACACGTCAAGCTATTCGTGATAGTGAACGTGGAATTAATAAAGTAAGTAAGAAGATTTTTATGGGATTTCACTGATTTGTAAATATTTACAGGTACAAATTGGTCATCGAATTGGTGATCGTAAACACGTAATTGAACGTGAAATGAATGTTGAAACAGGTCAGATATCTGAAAATGTTGAACTTGAAAATCTTGATGAAGAAGAAACAGGTGAATTTAAAAGAGAATGGCGTGAACGCTCAGGTCGAGCTGGTCTTTCTCGTCATTCACATCATCCTTATCACCATCAAATTTCTTCAAATCGTCCATATCATGCATCATCAGGATCACAACAACAACCACAATTAGCACTTGAACATGGTCCAACATTAAATCGACATCATCAAAAACCTGCAAAACATATTAATAATAATTCATCTCAACGACGACAATTTCATCATTCAGATACAATTGATTTAACTAATGATTCACCTATAGTTGAAGAAGTAGATGAAATTGAACAGTTACCATTACCACAAATTTTACCAGTTAAACGTAAAGCATCATCATCATCATCTTCAAGTGATGTTGATATACAACGAAAACATCGACAAACTCGTTTTTAATAAAAAAAAGAGAAAAATAAAAGACCAAAACAGTTCTCTTTTGTTATTTGTTTCTCATTTGTACAATTAGTTCATTATTATTATTATTCAATTAAGCGTAATATAATCGTTAAAAGTTTTCTTTCGTTTTTTTTCTTGTTCATCTCATGTGTTTATCTGCACTGTTCTTACAATTCAGACAAAAGAAAAAGAAGAAGAAGAAGAATTTCTCCTCATTTATGTCGATGCATCTACTTTGTTGTTATATCATCCTTGAAAAAGTGTTGAATCATGTTTGAAAAAAAAACAGCAATAGAAAAAAATCTAATAACATAAGATTGTATACATACTATTTATTTATTTATTTTCTTTTGCTTGTGTCTCTTTTTCTCTCTCTTTGTTTATGTTTGTATGTTAGAAAGAAGAAAAAAAGAAAAGACTGAATTTGTTGTTTTTTTCTACTCGTGAATTCTTTTTATTCATACATTTAAAACTCTAATAAACACTTTAACTACTTACATAAGATTGCTATTTACTTCCAGATATATATACATATATTCATTTTTAGTATTATGGGTCCTGCCCACCTCAACAGCCTATTTCATCTATTCAGTATTATTATTATTTGTCTACTAGAATAGAACTGCAAGGTATGTTTGATTCTTACATCATGTTTTATCAAGGATCAATTGTCTTTATTGATCTATTTTGCGTGAATATATTTTATAGAACAAAAAAAAAGAAATTGAAAGATATTTGTCTATTTGACATCTATTACATACCTAGACGTCATTTTGTCCCTGATAGAATTTAAGAACTCTTCGTTCTTTTCTTCTTATTTCTTGTTTATTTAAAAATTTATATGATATTTTGCGAAAGGATGAAAAAAAAAAGGGAAGAGACTTTATTTATTTATGTATAAATGTATTGATCGTGCTCAAGGCAATTGTATCACAAATTGATTGATGCGATTAATACTAGAATAAAAACGGCTTTTTATAATCATTAAAACTTAAGTAGGTTCCTATAACCGCCTTTACAAAGTTTTTTCTTCTTCTTCTTCTCCTATACCTCTCAGATGAATGATGATGATGCTATTGATGATTCATTTAAGAGTATTTTTCTTTTCTGCTCCAAGACGAATCATCGATGAAAAGAAAAAATAAAGCGAGTCTCATTCATGCTCATATATAATTTTTATTCAGTAAGATTGGAAGAGAATAAGAAAAGAAAAATCAACAGTATATATATTTTCGTTCGGTATTCGACATGAAAATCATAATTTGATATGTCATCAAAATCATCATCGTCGTTAAATCTAGATGTTGAAAGAACAACTTGGTTAGTTGGATTTAATATAAATGAAAATTATTTTATTTTTTTAGTGTCAACATGAGTTTTGGTTTTTTTCGAAATTTTTTATCGAAAAAAAATCAACCACAAATATCAGAAATATCTACACCAATAAGTGTAACTAAAAATATTCATGTTTCATATGATCCAATTACAAAAACATTTCATGGCTTACCAACTGAATGGGAAGACCAAGTTAAAAATATATTTGCGTAAGATATAATAAGTTCTTTCCTTTATCTAATTTGATGATATCATTATATATATTAGTCATTCAAAACCCGAAGATAAAGCTCATGTCATGACTTGCGCACTTAAAGTTATTCAACAAACACTTCGTGAAAATCGTAAATATCTTTTTTTTCTTCTTCTAATAAAAAAAAGGAAATTTTATATTCTCTTAGGTAACCCAACGAAACATATGCGTATTCAAGATACATTTCATCCAGATGGAATATCATATGAATCAGGTGATGAATTTAGTGAAACAGAAAGTGATCTAAGATCATCACAAGAAAGACTAAATGGTAATGGATCATTTTCAACACCTTCAAAAGATCCTTTAAGTAATAATAGATAAATAAAATATTTGATTTTTTCAAATATGAATTTTTCCTTAGGAGATACTCGTTCTGGATCTAAAAAATATTCTCCAGCTATTTCATCTCCACAACTTAATACAAATGTAAGAATATTTTTTTTTTATTCAATCAATGATTATTATTGTTTATTTAACCATCATAGAAATTTCTTGAAGATTTAAAACATGCTACATCAATTCGTAAACAAAAGCGTGCTGAAGTTAGTGCTAATAATATAGAATAATATAGAATAAAAATTAATTTATTATATATTAGATATCAAATGGAAAATCTGATGATGAAGATCATTCACCAGAATCTGTCACGCCAGCGAATTCTCGTCCTAGTACACCTGTTGAAAATCGACTTCAAGAAGTTGGTGTTAATAATCTTGTCTATTCAATGACTCGTGATACACTTACTAATGAACAAAGTGAAAATTTTCAAAATAATGAAAATTTAATGACACCATCGTCAACAAAACGTTTACCTCCTCCTCCTATCGGTTCAGTTGCTCCACCACCTATACCGGTTCGTACTCACGCTAGTGATAATATTACAGCAATGAACAGTAATAATGAAAAATCTCGTAAACAATCAGAACAACCACCTGAATTACCACCTAAAACAACTCGAGTCATAGCTGCAGGAGGTAAATTTTCATCTCCACTTAATCCTGTTCCATCTACGCAAAAAATAAATCCAATAATCAATAAAGAAAATCAACAAGTAACAACAACAACAACAACAGATCCTGAAGTTGTATCAACTACGCAAGATGTAAAGCTTATACAACGAAATAAATCAAAAGCTAGTCGACGAAAAATGACTGAAGAAGAAGCAATTAATGAACTTAGTTAGTTATAATATATATATACTTTTAAAATAAAATAATCTTATTCATATTTAGAACCGGTTGCTGCTACAGATGATCCAATGACAAGATTTATTATAAAGAAAAAACTTGGCTCTGGGTATGAAAAAATGAAAATTTGTTCTATAGATCTTGGTTCAATTTTATTTTCTCGATTAATAGAGCTGCTGGTGATGTTGATTTAGCACTTGATACAGTAACAAATACAAAAATTGCTATTAAACGAATGCTTTGGTCTAAACAACCACGAAAAGAATTGATTGTTAGTGAAATTCATGTGATGAAAAATTTTCGATTTCGTTCTATTGTGAATTTTCTTGATTGTTATTTAAGACCCAATGAATTATGGAGTATGTATTTTATTTCTTTTCTTAAAATGAGTATATATTATTCTTATTTTTATTTAGTTGTCATGGAATATATGAATGGTGGTCAATTAACACAAATTGTTGAACATACAATATTAGATGAAGGTCAAATGGCTGCTGTTACAAAAGAATGTCTTGAAGCACTTCAATTTCTTCATAGTAAAAACATTATTCATCGTGATGTTAAATCAGACAATGTACTTGTCGGATTCGATGGTTCAGGTATATATAAATAATGTTTTTTTTTTAATTTGAAAAAAATACGATTCTATTTAAATAGTTAAATTAACTGATTTTGGATTTTGTGCTCAATTAGCAAATACAGAAAGTTTACGAACAACAATGGTAGGAACACCTTATTGGATGTCACCAGAAGTGATAAAAAAGTAACAAAAATTTATTTGTATTTCTATCATTTATTAATTAATTTCTATTCATAGACTTAAATACGATCGAAAAGTTGATATTTGGGTATGAATTTAATAATAATCAAGTTATGTTTTTTTTCTATTCTATTTATTTAGTCTTTGGGTATCTTACTGATTGAAATGATTGATGGTTCACCTCCGTATATAAATGAACAACCATTTCGTGCTATGTGCAAAATAGCGATGCAAGACGAACCACCAACAATAACACCTGATTCACAACAACGTATATCATCTGATGTAATGAATTTTCTTAAACGTTGTTTAACAATTGATCCTACACTACGTGCGGATACAAATGAACTTCTTGAACATTCATTTATAAAACGAGCAAAACCACTTTCATCACTTTGCCCAAATATCAAAGCTGTTTGCAAAACTGATACCGATTAAAATTACACAAAAAAAATTATTCTATATTATTGTGCATATGTTTCCAAGTTTCATTGCCATATTTTCTTAACGTCCATAACATTCTTTTTTTTTTCTTTTCGTTGTCTATATATTCTGTTTAAAAGAACCTATTTGTTATTAAAAAAAAAGAGAAGTTATATATAATATCATAAACAAAGTAGTTTATTGTATCATTTTTCTAACTTGTTATTTATCTAATTATACCAATCTATTTGATAAAAAAAAAAAGAAGAACTACTAAAATGTTATTTCTTATTGATATTCTTAAATTCTGTGATTTCGTTTTTTGTTCGTTTCTCTTTGATTCCATCGAATACATTCAACTTCCATATAATTATTATTTCTTGTATAGAAGAAACTATTCAACAAGTTAGACACGCAATTACAACTATATATGGCTCATAGCAGCAATCTTTGATTCTTTTTTTTTTACTTTTTCTATTATATTCTATCCAATGTCAAATAACTTTCCTTTTACTTTTTTTTCTCTTTCTCTCGCACTCGAAAATAAAACTTCATATATATATAACATAATTTTTCAATGTTCATTTTTCTAGATGTTAAGTTTTAATTGGAATTCAGTGGATGAATCGACGTAAGTTTAACGAGATATATTTATGTATGTGTATATATATAAATGTTTTATAGATTTCAAGGACATTTACATAAATATACAAATGCATTTAAAGGATTTCAAAGTCGATACTTTGTATTAGATGTACCAACCAAAACTTTACTTTATTTTATGGTAGGTTTTTTTTGTATTATTTTTGTATTAATTAAATAATTTATTTTTAGCCATATGAAATCCGAAAGAAAGGTCCAAGAGGTGTTATTGAATTAACAGATTGTTGGATATCACCATCAAATGAAGATGATGTTACTTTTACTGTACAAACAGGAAGTGGCGGCGATATATTTAAATTTCGAGGTATAAATATGATTTTTCATAAATGTAGAAATTTTCTTTTCTTTTTTATTTAGCTATGGATGCAAAAGAAAGACAAAAATGGATTGATAAATTACGAACATGCTCAGGATCAAATGCAGCTGATGTTGTATGTCTTTCATTATATTGCTTAGTAAGAGAATATTTATTTTGTTTCAGTTTGTTTCATCATTCCCATCACAAAAATCGAGTTTAATCAATACATCATCATCTTCAAATGATTCTCAATCTCGTTCATCACATCGACGTGATTCAAAGTATAATTAAAATATCATATTATTTTGTTATTTTCATATTTTAATATAGAATTTTTCATCATCAACAAACATTAAAAGAAATGAAAGAAGTCATACGTTGTCTTGAAGCGAATCAACAAGAATTTGTTGAAACAATTGATGTATATTATTATTATTATTATTATTATGTTCTTAGTATCTATTATTCGTTTTTTAGGCCATACCAGATACAAATCGTTTCAATTCATTATCTAAAGTATATATTCGAACAATATAGAAAATGATTGATCCGATTTTTTCTGAATTCTAGGATATGTTAATGCTTCGTTCAATATCTCGATCATGTGTTAATTCATTACAAGATAGTTTAACTATTCTTACTAAAAGAAGGTATTAATTCAATAAATAAAAATATTAAGTTTTTTATTTATTTATTTAGAATTCCTGATACTGAATTACGTTCACCAACTGCATCATCAACTCCGTCACCACAACCACCATTAACTACAATGCCGAATCTATCTGGTAAACAACTAAGTCAATCATATAATAGTGGTATGAGTGGACCATCTAATGTAACTGTTGGTTTATCATCACAATCGAATTTAAATTCATCATCTTTAAATAAAACGTCAAGGTATGAATTCTATATTTATTACTTATATAGATTTTTCAAAAATAAGATTCAGTTAATTGATCACTGAAGTTTCGAGAGCTATTTATCGTATCTATTATTATTTTATAGAGTAAAGTAGATATGAATTCAAACAGTAGTGAAAGGTAATTACTTATGGACAAGAGAAAAAAACACAGTAAGCAATTTGTCATAGTGTTATGTTTTTATTATAAATCAATTGCTCGCTGCTGGATTGAAATTTACCACATGATTTCACTTAATAGAATAATAAATTTTATTTTGTATCTTTTAGTCTCAGTGGTCTTAATCAACAATCTTCTGTTAATGATCCAATATTGTCATTAAAAAATTTACGAAGTAAATTATAATTTTTCTTTCTAAACGATTAGTTACAAATTTTTATTTTTAAAAACATAGCTGATACTGCTATTCAAAATCGTACAACAATATCATCTTAATAACGACAATGAATTAATTGAAGTGGCTTATTATTATTTTTTCTTATTATGTGTACATGTTTTGCTTATTCCATCGAATAAGCCTTATTAACGAACATATTTAAAAAAATTATTTTTTTTATATAATACAACGATTATATTTCGATATATACGGTTTTTTTTCATTCTCGCAATAAACTCAAACTAATTTGTTTTCGAATATAATAATGTAGAAATTATTGTGTCTTTTTCTTTTTTATGTATAGATATGCCGGGAACTATGACTGAAAATGAACATCTATTGAGTCTTGTTTCAATAGAAGTACTCATAAGTCACGTTCATATTAATCTTAATATTGAATGTCATTTACCATGTATAGTTTTTCGTCTACTCGATTATCCAGCTGTATCAATACCGTATTTTGATCAATGGCAAATTGAAGAATTTCATAGTGTAAAACGTGATTATCCAAATATTTCATGGCGTCAATTACTTTCCGATCAATTCTATGAACTTCGTTCAGCGAATGGAAAATTTAATTTTAAACGTGGTAAATCATGTTTATTTAAAACTTATTTCAAAACATTATATACACATTTATTAAATGTTCCACTTTTTCTTTTACTTATTGATCAAATTAATGATAATGGTACGAATGATAATACAACACAATTTATTGGAAGTTGTAATATAAAATTAAATGAATTGATTGAAATGTTAAATCAATCAATTATTAAAAATGGAAAGGATATACCACTTGTTGAACAACAAACATTTTATTGTACACTTTTTAATTTAATGGGTACACAAATTGGTACTTGTAATGTTGCTGTTCGGTTTTGTCATTATGGTACAACTATTTTAACACAATTACCTATGCTTGATGATAAACTTCTAACAAAAATAGAACAAAAGTAAGATCATCAATTAAACTATGATACATTCTCACATTATTTTTTGTCTGTTAGAGCTCCGATCGAAACTAAGAAAAATATTAACGAAAAATCATCAACAGTACCAGTAGTATCACCAACATTGCCTTCATCAGAACCACCACCACCACCAACTGTGGATACAATTGTTAAACATATTCATTTTGTTAATGAAAAAAAAGATGTTGGTTTACAAATATCTCGTAGTGACCTTCCATTATCAACATCAAATCATAATAAATCAGCTCAAACACGTTGGACAAGTACAAAAACTTATCAAACTACACATCATTCTAAAAGTCGATCTTTACGTACTATAGAAGATCCATTATTTGATGATATATCGATTGCGTCGTATCAACCACCACCTCTTTATTTTAATTCGAATTCTGATTTTCTTCAAATGATAACACCAATCAATGCAAAATGTATGGATGAAGCTAAAGAAAATCGTTTATCTTATCTTGCATCAATTCCTATTGCCAGTTTTACTAATGAACTTGATATCGATGATGATGATGATGAAGACAATGAAAATATTCATATTAAACAACAACGATTAAAACCAAAAAGTTCACATAATGTACGTTTTAATTTATCTTCATCATCTGTACCACCACCGGCAATTATTCCTCGAACAAAAATAATGCCAAAACAACCATTATTAACAGAAAACTTTTTACAAAATTTTCCTCTTCTTCGTGCATTAGTTGAAGAAGCCTTAGCTTTACAACAACATGATCAGTTTAATCTTCCGTTGGCGATGAATCATATTATGACTGATGAACGACCGCATTCAACGAAACAACCAGGTCAAAGAAAATTAAAACAAAGTCCAGTGCGACCTAAATCAGCAACAATGGTACGTTCAGTACGAACAAAATCTGTTATTGTAGCAAGAAATATAAATAATACTCGTCGACTTTATCCGCCCCCACCGGAAACAAGACAAATGGTTGTAACAAAAAATGAAGTACGAAGTCTGGTTGATCGTCTTTCTAAACCAAAATTTAATAAACGACTTGAACAACAAGTTGCGTTTGCTGAACAAGGAACAATAATCGAAGAACCTATTATAACTCCACGTCTTCCACCGAAAACTACTTCGACTACGGTATTTTATTTTGTTTCATTATTAATCATCGTTTTTTTTCTTCTTCTTTTCATTAGCCAACTGGTACACCTAGAAGTATAGTATCACAAAAGCCACCACTTTCTTATGGTACAACACGTGCTCATCGATTATATGCTGAATATTCTCGAGCTCGTCGTGCTGCAAATCAACCTCAACCAACTGCTTCATCAAAACCTCAAATTACTCCACGAAAAGAATCATCATCATCCAAAGGTCGAATTATTTCACCATCACCTCAATTAATTAATACAGGCACACTTTCAAATTTTTCTCTTCTCAACAAAGTTGATATTGATACTGCTACTATAGAAAAAAATAGTTTACAACAAATTTCATCCGAACAAACACAACAAAATACTGGTCCAAGTACGAAATCATCATCAACAACAAGTCAAGATGTAACATTAGAATTAAATCAACACTTATCAACAACATCATCGACATCACCATCGTCATCATCGTCAACAACAACACCTGAACCAACACTACCTGAACATCATCATCAGCCTAATAATGAAAGAAATGAATTAGGATTTTCCATTACTGATGTTACTGATTAGTATGTATTATTTAATTTATTTTTCAATTAGTTTTAAAATTTTTTTTTATTGTAGTTTTACCGATGGTGATAAAAGCTCAAGTAGTCGTCCAACACCACGACAATCAACGTAATTTCTTCTATTACATTTCCAAAAAAACAAAAGAAATGAACGTCAGATCATTCTACTCAGTTTGATGAATTTATCCGTCCAAAGATTATTATTAGAATATTTGTATTATTTTCTTTAAATCAATAGTTCAGGTTGCTTTTTTTAATACATAGTTTTTCTGTAGTTCTCAGGTTTTACTGTAATGAATGGGAATGTTTTTTTTACAAAATAAATTTATGAATAACTTCTAATCATGAACATATTCAATGATATACAAATCTATTTAACTTTCGAAGAAAATTTATTGTATTAGAGTGACCTCTTATCTTCCTTGACAGTCTTTCGTTCCAAATTCTATTGGCAAATCAAATCGTTTCATTGTCTCGAAAAAGAAAGACAACAGCGAAGAAAAATAGTTCGTTTGTTCATATTCAAATTGTCGACTTGGGGTAGATTCTCTTTTCTCTCTTAGAAAAATATTCAAATTTTTTCGAGATAATGAATCAAGAGAATAAACCTCCATCAAATGATCTTGATCAAGAACAACTATCATTAGTGACATTTAGAAAAAAGGTTTGTTCTAATTTATATATTGTTTTCTTCTTCTATCTATTTGAATTAGTTGGATAATAATAATGATGAAGAAGAATCTTCGATTACACCGAAACGACCATTACTCTCACGAGATCGTGGTTCAGATAGATTCATTGATGTTTCTCCTCTAACTGATCGCAATTCTCGTCCTGAACAAATCATACGAGCACCTTTACCAGCATCACCTTTATCAGCAACTAAACATGAACAATCACCACTATCATCTAGTGTCGTTGAAAATTGTATGTTTATTATAAGTCCTCCACAACCAAATCGAACAACAATTCTTGATGATGATGATCAATCCTATGTACCAGCTTATATACAAAGAAAAGCTAAACCAGCACCATCAACTACTTGGAAAACAACTTATCCAATGCATAAACTATCTTCAACAATGAAAACAAATACTGAAACATCAATATCTATTCCAGATATCCGTCCAAGTTAGTTTCTCTTTATTATTTATTTAGACAAAAAAAAATACTTCCAAACCTTTCAATTTAAGCTTCTTCAATTACTTCATTTCAACCAGCTATACGACCACGTATTTCATTCAATCTAACATCAACAAATACAATCGATAAACAAGCACATGCATATGCACTATGGTTGAATAGTATCTTTACACCTGTTGAATTTATGAGTAATCAAACAGTATTAAATGAACCATCAACAACAACAACAACAACAACAAAAAATTTAAAAGCATTAGCTGAATCAAATCGTTGGTATATATTACGAGATCGTGCTCGAGAAGTATTTACACGTGATATACAATCAATTGCTGCAAAAATTAGTGCTGATATTGATACAGATCATTGTCGAATAAATCCAAAATCTGATTTAAATTTTTCAGCACGAACAGTTAGTCGACAAGCATTATTAAATTTTATTTCATCCTATAATCGAATATGGTTTCGTTTGGCATTAGAAGTACTTTTTCCAATTAATATTGAAAATTATCAACAAATGAAATTATCTATTGAACAATATCTTATTCAATCTACGGGTAATACATCATCACCTTCGAACGATACTATTAATTCGAAGAAAAATAATAATAATAATAATAAAACTGCTTCAGCACAAATTCGTTTAACAATAAAAAATTTAATATTAATTATTATTTTTCTTGAACGTGCAAAATTATTACGTTTAATCGATAATGATCCATGTTTATATATACGTGAATCAAAATTTAAATCAACAAAAGAATCAATCGATATTTTATCGCGTGATTTTATTAGTTCAGATACAAATCTTATACGTCGTCTTAAATTAGCTGGATATGAACCTATATATCGACAAACATCATTAGATGAATATAATTATTTAATAACAAATACTGAAAATAAATTATTCGATGATTTAAAAGATGGTATACGTTTAACACGTTGTGCACAAATATTATTATCATCAATAAATGAACAAGTTGCTAAATTTGATTTATCAACAAAGTTAAAATGTCCTGTTGTTAATCTTGTTCATAAATTACTTAATATTGATCAAGCTTTTGAATTACTTCAAACATATGGACATGTTAATTTAACTGGAATGTAAGTTAATTCTCTTTCTCGTAGAGAAGAGTCTAGCAGAAATAAATTGTTTGCTTGTGTCTCCGCAGGGTCAAAAAAACATCAAAGACTGATTTTTAAGAAAAGACATTTCTTGAGGTATTTCAATGCGGAGACTTCAAATGTGGCCCTCACTTGCTCAGACTACTGAAGGGGAGGGTGAGCATGGACTGATAGAAACCGAGTTTTTGTGTATTACATTTTTATGAGAAAGAGCTAAGCGAGTCCTCGGACGAGCGTTACTTGTTTTTATTTTGATAAATGTTTTTTTCTAGTTCAAATAAAGATATTATGAATGGTAATAAACAACGTACACTTGAATTACTTTGGCGTATATTTATAACATCTTATTTACCAAAACAATTATCACCTATTGAAAAATTAAATGAAGAAATATCTATTCTTACAAAAAATCTATCGACATATAATTGTCGTTTAATTGAACAACAACTTTTAACAAATGATATTATTCCATTACAAAAACAACATATTGAATTTACACCATTAATTCATTTATTAATTAAATGGGTACAACTTATATGTGCACATTATAAATTTTGGTTATATGATTTACAAGAATCATTTATTGATGGACGCGCATTTCTTTATATTATTTCGTATTATTTACCATCTCTATGTGATTATTCACGTGATATAAAACATTTAACAACATTAGCAGTATGTCAAACACGTGATGAACATATACAATTTAATTTAGAACTTGGACAACAACAACAACCACAATTAGTAAATACTTATGAACGAAATGTCAAATCAAATTTTCGTTTATTAGAAGAATGTATTAAACAATTTGGTACATTTTCTAATGATTTTATTAAATATGAATCCTATGCAAAAGATGTACCTGATGAACGTTGTACAATTATTATATTAGCTATGTTTGCACATGATTTACTTTTTTCAAATAATATCGATAATAATAATGATAGTGATGATTTTCGTCATCAAATTATATTTGATGAATTAAAAGAGAAATATTCCAAAGATGATGAACCAATAATTGAAATAAAAAAAGAAGAAATAAAAAAATATCAACCATTGAATGAACAAGAAGATGAAACTATTGATGATAATTTAATTAATTCTTGCCAACGAATAGAAAATATTTCTGAAATAACTAGTATGGCTTCTGTATTTGATGATATAATAATAACAGAAAAATCTATGGAACCAATTAAACCTTCAATTTCTTCAACTACGATTAACTTTTCAATTGGAAATTCACCAACAAAACTTCATCGTCTTCCTATAATACAATCTGTATCAATATTATCATCTGATGAAGATGATTCCAAACAAGAAGAAGACGAAGATGACCATAAACAGGAAGAAGAAATAGTTGATGAAAAACAGGAGGAACAAGAAGATGACCACAAACCGGGAGAAGAGGGAGATGATGATGATGAGCACAAACAGGTTGAAGAAGAAGAAGCTACGGATGAAGATACAACAAAAGTAACAATTCTTTCATCAGGATCACCAGCAAAACAAGATTGGTCATTTGTTGAACCACCTGCTGTTGTCTATAATCAAACATTATCTGATTCATTATATGCTTCACTTGAAATCATGTTTAATTGTCAAACACCACCACGATCACAACCATCACTTTCTCAATCCATAGTTCATACTATGAATCACGATATTCTTGATCATCTTGAACCATTACCTGAATTGAATGATGAAAGTGGTGATGACAATAATGACGATGATGTTAATGATGACGATTCATTTAATTCAGCACGATCAGGCTTAACAACAATGATGGATCCACGTCGAACATCAATTATAGCACAAGCAACTACACTTTCATTTCATGATTTAGTTGAATTAGAAAAAGCTGCAGAAACTGAAGGAATAAAAAATAATCCTGATAATACATCATTATTTCTTATTGATGAAACAACTCCATCAGAAGCTGATAGTGTTGAAATGAATAAAATGGATGATGTAAGTAGAAGTAAAAAACAAAATTAATTTAAAATCTTTCGATTTTCTTTTTCTATCTAGACTTCTTTTGCTGATCCAGTGAATACAAAAATGATTAAAGAAACATTCACACTTTTCTTAGCACATCAACAACAAACACTTGAATATGAAGAATCACTTGCGCATAATAATGAATCTCTTGGACAAACACAAAATGAACAACATTCTGAAATTGTAGTTAAAACAGAAGCAGAACGTGAAATGCATGCAGTTCAACTTGTTCAGGTATATTATAATACATAGTATATCAACGAATATAAATTTTTATTTAGGCTCATTGGCGTGGTCATCAAGTGCGTGTCGAAAATGAACGTAATAATCATCCAGTTGTTGCTATTCTCGAAAGAATTCGTACACATAATTCAACAAATAATTCATCAATAACATTACGTGAACGTATGATGCAAATAGTACAAGAATATTCTGAAGCTTCATCAGCATCTGTTACTGCTTATTTACATTTTTTACGTGATGTTGAACCTATTGTTACTTGTTGTCTTGAAATACGTTATCTAATTGCTCAACAAGGTTTATTAAGATTATTTTTTATATTAATGAGATGTTGTAATCGAAGTGGACCATCAGCTGTTTTACTTAGTAAAGTTTTAAGTATTCTACAATTATTTACTGTTAAACGTGGTCTTATTATCCCATTAATTGATAAACATGAACAAATCAAAGATTTTATTATGCTTTTACTTAAATATTATCAAAAACATCGTAGTGAATTATTCGAACAAATTTGTTCATTACTTGAATCAATTGTTAATGATGAATGTGCTCGAAAAGTAAATTATTTAGTTTTTTTATTCAATTGATTTTCATTTTTTCTTTTGGTCAATAGATGTTACGATCAAATAAAATGTTTACAGATGCTATTGAATATGTTTATAAACGTGTATTTAATAAAGCAACAGCTGAAGATGAAAAATATCGACAACAAGTACGATCAACACCAAAACAATCAACTGGACCACAAACACGTCGTGCAACATTATTAAATCAATCATCAATACTCTATCCAACTCCGAAGTTAATGCGTCCACCAGTCGTTCAAAATGAAAGTATTTTCAAAAAAAATCTTGTTTCAATGGAAAAATTTATGAAAATTTTCTATCATGATTAATTCTTTATCTGTATATGTATGTGTGTATGTATTGTATAGGATCATGATATTCATTTTTTTTCTTTTCATTCGTATTTGTATCTACGTAAAGAAAAAGATGTAATAATAATTAGATATTTTTGATATTCAATAAAACAATGTTATTATTTTTTCTTACATTAATAATTACAAATAGAAATTATATTATTATCAAATCAATTGAAGTAAAATAACTGTTTTTAGTAGTTGTGTAATAATAACAGCTGAATATTATTTGTGTAGAAGAATCTCAACAAAAAAATTGAATTCATCAAAATAAACTCGTTAAGAGCATTTGTTCAATATTGTATAAAAATTCTATACTTCTCAACTTTATCTTCTCAAATTACAATCTATACATTTGTTCATCTGGCATGATTTATATATATACATCGATTTTTTCATACACATATGTTTCTTTATCTGATTTTTTCATTGAACGGGAGAATTCGATATTTTTCTAATTGAGTAAATTACAAACTTTATTTATGTATCATTCTTAAGACTATGATCAATCAAGATAAGTCCTTCAAGTTAAAACTTATTTTGATGTATTTATTTCATCAGTTTACAAATGAATCAATCAACACGTTTAGCTTATTTATCTATAATGATATAGATAAACAAAAAAATGTAGTCGACATCTAACGACATAGTAATCGCTTTAACAGAAACGAAAAGAACCAATATAAATTAATATCACTTCAACTTAACTTTATATTATATGTTATTCAATTTCGATGAAGAAATTTTTTCGTAGATGAGTTGAGCAATTTATATTATTTTTCTTTGTCGAAATACAATCTATATTTATATTCAGATAATGAGTGATAATTTTAATTCAAAAATGTGTGCATCATCATCTTATACATATAATAAACCTAAACGAAGAATATTACCAACAGTATTAAATTTTATGGATAATTCTCGTATGATATCAAATAATTATAATAAATATAATAAATCATCAACAGATATTTTCGATATATTACGACGAGCTGTTAATGAACGACGACGTATTGAGGTCTTGACACGTGATTGTCGAGGTATATATGGAATTCTTATTGGATGGTTGATTGTTTTTGATAAACATATGAATTTAATTATGTCTGATGTGGATGAAGTATTTCGACGATTAACTGATGGTCATGATTATCTTGAATTAGGTCCAAAAACACAAGATATCCCATTGAATAAACGTATGTTACCTTTGAAATAATAATATAAGTTTTCTTTTTCTTTACACACATTTAAGCTGATACACCACCAATTTCGAAAACTCCCGAAGTAACAAATGATTTTCAAACATTTCGAGCTCAATTAGCAAATTTTTTACGAAATAAAAAAAACCCACCAGTTACAGCTAAACCACCACGACAAATATTTAGAGATGAAGATGAAGAAGAAGAAGATGATGAGAGTGAATATCAACAACAAACATGTGAATGTCATCCCGAACAATTCTTATCAATGGAATTATTAAGTATCAATAATTTAATTGTACAACGTCTTAGTGGTAAAACACAACATGTTGATTCATCGCCACCGCAAACATCAACATCATTACCAATATCAAAACGAGCTAAAGTCCGATTCTTTTCTCGACATATACCCAAAATATTTATTAAAGGCAATCAAATATGTCTTATTCGTCTCTTATCTTCTTGATTAATGGTTTGCAGTTAGAAAACATTTTTTATTTGGAACTATGTTGTTATTTTATATCATATATAATGATATTGATGAAAAGTAATGTCCTTCTTAGTTTCATCACATTAACGTTTACATATTAATTCAAAAAGAAAAATTATGATTAAAAATAACAAAATGAAAACTATTCTAACTGTGTATTAAAGAATTGAAAAATAAAATTTCATGCTTCATTAAATTGCGTATTATATTTTCATGAATAAAAAGATTCACATTAAATGATTTGCATCCATATATTGACTTTCCACTTTTTTAACAAATAACAATAGGAATAGACAATGATTAAAATACTTCCTGTTTGAATTGTATAGCATAAAACAAAGAAAATATTTATGTTTATTTTTCAGTAAGCGGCACTTATAATATCTGATCCGATAAAATAGCATTGAAAAAATATCTTATGTCTTTGTATATGGATAAGAAAGACATTCATTTCTTATATTTCCTTAATGGATTCCAACTACAGATCATTAAGAACACTGAACAAACTATTTGATCATGATATTTGATTATTTTTGTGGATAACTGTGATGATATTATTCTTTAGAAAGTGTAATTGAATGAATAGATAATGTTCAGAGAGATCGAAGAGAAGGAAGGAAAGACAAAAATGTGAAGGGCATATTACAGCAGTAGATCATTTGATTGGCATAAAGAAATGAATGTGCTGTTATCTCTCTGCTGACCTCGTATCACAACACATGGCTAATTTTTTTCTAACGAATGCTACGTTTGTCTCTCTCGCTTTCTCTCTATACATGTGTAGGTAGAACTGTTGTTGCTGTTGTTGTTTTCTGTTGTTTTATTTTTCCTACTGATAAGATAATATTCCTTCGTAATATCATATCAGTAGAACTGCTAAAACACTTTTTTTTGTTTCAGTCAACATTTGTGACTATGTAATCATATCAACGTACGTATGCAAACATCCACCAACACATATATGATAGAAGAAAGAGCAAAAGCTTGTTATTTGAATCATCATTATGAGCAAATGTTTTTTGGCCTGCTGGTCATTATCTTTGTTAGTACTCATATTCGTAACAGGAGTAATGGACGAGGTACGTTAGCAAGTTATAGGCAGTAGAGAGAAGGAACTGATGCGAGAGAGAGAATGATAAACAATAAGGATGGATAAAGATGTATTAGCCGTATGCTCGCCGTCTTTTTATGCTATATCTATCTATTCATCAATATTTCATATACACTAAGTAATGAAAGACTTCTTTCTTTTGCTTCTTGTTGTCGCTCTCACATATTTGTGCGGTATGTTGTCTAAATGCCATGATGTGATCTCTATTTTTTTGTATTCATCAGTTTCATCTATCTTTAGCTAACGACAAGCAATTAGAATGTCCGTCTGCATTTTTCTGTCAATCAATCGACAAGTTAATAGACCTATCAGTTGTTTTTCCGTAGATAGAAAAAAAAACTATTCGATTACATTAAAAATGAGTTTTAATTTAATTTATATGTACGTGAGTAATATGCTTTTTATCAAAGTTCATAGTTCATTGTACAAACTGAATTAACTAATAATTTTCTTTTTATACTCTCAATAGTATTAAGAGGCATCTAACGAGAAAAAAAAAGAAAACTCTATGTTTAGTTCTCTTGTGTTCTATAAAATAAGAAAAGAGCAACTGCACATCGTCATAATGTAGTAATTTCTCCATCGTTCATCAGTAGTCGTGTGAAGATGGACACTCGTCTTCTTCTTCTTCTTCTTTTTTTCCTTGTCATTTCCTTTCTCTCGCCGTCTCAGTTTTTTTTTCACAGCTCTCGAGTGATCGCTTTATTGACCCAAGCGAATGCCCATCTAATAATATTTACTAACTACAAAAAAAAAAGAAGCCGTCATTTTTTTTCTCTTATCACACCTTTTTTTTTTTTTGATAAATAAATGTCATAGGTAATCTTATCATATTGAGACATAATATTTATATGTTGTGTTTTTTATATTTCTTAAAGAATTTTCTAGTTTGAAAACATAGATCTTATCTTTTGTATTTATAACAACAAAAAATATTTACAGGCAGTGTAAGTCATTTTTTAGGTAAGAAAAGACTGGATTACAAGGTCCAATTAAATTTAATGAAAGTAAGACTAACATTATTTGATAGGGATTGATCACATCTTATCTGATATTCTCTAATGAATTGTCGATATAGGATATTATATCAATTTATATCTTCAATGAAACAATATATGAGAAGTATACATATCCCTCGAGCGAAATATAACGTTGTCTTTATTTCAGTGAGAAACCGAAGGTAAATCGGAAAAAAATATATAATTAAAACAATCGATTAAACCTAGATATATTTGATCCTGTCACGTATAATAGAAACAATTAAAAATTATATAAAGACATACGTCACGATAATTTTTCTAATTTTTATTTCTGTCCTTGTAACTAGTCTTAGGATACCGTGAATCTTCGTCTCATTTATCTCGTTTATCATTCGCTTCATTGAGTATCGTTTGTTTCAAACAAGGCTTTATATATATATCCGACCATGATTTCGAATAAAACCGCTGTCACTAGATATAAATCGAATGAATATATAACGGTCGTTTTTGTTCTTTTAATTTATTGCTTATTTCAGATGTCAAATTGTGATAAATCATACACGTTTGATTTGGTTTTGATAAATAATGTCTGTAATCTATGCCGATCTTATTATTGATCATTAATATTCTTTTTGTTTTAAGCACAGGTAAATATAACTTGTTAGGCTCGAATAAATATTTTGATTATATTATTATATTTTTTATGTTGACAGTCAATGTGTTTTGTTTATCAACGTCATCGATACAAATAATTGATAGCGAAATTGGTGATAATAACATTCTTGATTGTCCCATAAATCGAAATAAATATTCGCTCCCATTGATTATTCAATGGTATAGATCAATAAATAATTATTCGACACCAGTTGCTAGCCAATTCAATGATTATCCTGTCCATATTGATGAATTATATTTTAAAAAATATAGTCTTTTAATAAATGGATCATTGAAAATTGAAAATATTCAATTAAATGATAATGATACATTTGAATGTCGAATTATTTTAATTGATCGTGGTTTACTTGATATCAAAGAAAAATATTTTCAAATACTTCGTGTCAATGGTAATACAATCATTTGTTTTTTTTTTCTAAACAATAAATTTGTTGTTATCTTTTAATTAGAACAACCACGTCTTATCAATCATTCAGATTCCTTAGAAGTTGCTAATCATTATTCAACAGTTAATTTTATTTGTCAGATTTATGGTATTCCAAATCCAACAATTTCATGGTACAAAGTTATTCAACAAAGTAAACAAACGAATAATGAAGAAAATTTACAATTCCTTTTGACCGATAATCCAATGTATGTATATATATTACTTTTTTATGTATATTTTCAATTACATAAAATGTTTTTTTGTCTGCAAAAATAGTTTTACTCTTGAAAATGTTGACGATAGTTCGGCAGGTAAATATAGATGTATAGGTAAAAATCGACTTGGTTCAATACAAAATGAATTTCAACTATTTATTCGTGGTAAGTCAAAATCTTCTTTTTGTTTTTCTCTGAACATTCTTATCCAAAAAAAAATAGGATCTATCTATTGGCGACAATTACCGCAAAGTCAAATAGCTAAAATTCATGATAATATTACGTTGAAATGTGAAGGTGAAAGTAATGAACTATTACAATATCAATGGTAAAAAACGAAATTTTAATTTTACAAAAAAGTTATGAAATTTTTATATTAGGTTAAAAAATGAAGTTCCAATATCGGATACAATTTCATCACTTGATCGTATACATACATTCAGTGATGGTGTGTTAAGTATTAATAATATCCAACCTTCAGATCATGGTTCCTATGTATGTGTAATAAGTATATTAAATACTACAAATATTCGTAGTAAACCAGCTACTGTTACTGTTAAATGTAAGTTGTCGTATTCTTATATCTAATGTTAATATTGATATAAAAAATAATCATATTATTAGACCCACCGATTCCATCGCGTACTCGTCAAACAAATAACTTAACATTAATTCATGGTTCGTTAGGTATATGTCCATGTTTACTAGATGCTTATCCACCTATTCAATCTGTTTCTTGGTATCGAAATGGAAGATCTATTCGTATTGAACCGAAAGGTATAGTTGATATAAGAAAAAAATAAATATTTCTATAATCTATTTATATAAGGTGGAACATATACTATTAATTCTGAATATGCATTAATAATAAAATCAGTTGATGGTGATGATAATGGATTATATTATTGTCGTGCACAAAATGCGGAAGGATTTGGTAATGATAGTATACCATTTCGTGTTGATATCAAAGGTTTGAATTGGGAAATTTAACTTCTTTTTTTATAAAGAAAAATTATTATTTTAGAACCAATTAAGTTTATGATAAAACCAAATTCAATTTATCATATTCAAGAAAAAGATCGATTAGTAGTACCATGTGCTGTCTATGGTGACCCACAGCCAACAATTAAATGGTTTAAAGTAAAAAATATTTTTCTTCTTTTTTTTTTTGAAGAAATATTTATTTTTAATTATGATTAGAATTCAATTGAATTGAATAGAATCAATGAAAATTTAACCTTGGAACATATTGAAAAGACTGATCATGGTTTATATATATGTCAAGCATCAAATAAACACACAACAACTAATATTAGTACTTTACTTATTGTTGAAAGTAAGTTTTATATGTTATATAAAGGAAGAAGAAAAAAATTACATCCATAGTTTAAGTCAATAAAACGTTACTTTTTTTTATCACTAAAACCATTTTTATATCAAATATAATCAGCCAGCTTTTCTTATTCTCATAATGTTTTACGTATTAAAAGGTTACCTTGAGCTTCATTCATAATATCTAACATTTTTAAATAAATCCTAACATATGCGCTGCTCATCATAGAATACTTCGACACATTTGAGTCAAATATTTCATCGCTAGTTTTATAGGAGTTTACAATAGTACATAGAATCAGCATATCGGAAATATATTTTGATAGTCAAGTTATAGAGTAACAACATACATATATATAACGAGTGCGCCATAAGGAATGAAGGTCCGCATATTTTGGCTATGCTTTCTTTTAGTTTTGAACTTGCAATTTGATTCTTCTATCAGAAGATGCGCCGTTAAATTCTCTATAAAAAGGTTATTAAGCTTGATCCTAAAAATGAATTGGTAAAAAGATCTTTATCACGATAAGAAAAATTTATACGAATAGTAGCCATTTATGAGGCATTTGGTAGTTTTGACACTTGGATACTTTTTATATGTTAGATAATCTTTTTCTAGATTTTTTTACCAATTCATTTTAGGACCAAGCTTAATAACTTTTTTTGTAGAGAATTTAACAGTGCATCTTCCGGTAGAAGAATCAACTTGATAATTCAAAACTAAAAGAAAGCATAATTAAAATACGGAGACCTTCATTCGTTATGGCGCACCTATTATATAGCTGACGCCTTGATTAATCATAGAAACAAATTTCAAAAGTAGAATAACACATCCCAAGGATAAATGTCTATAGTAAGAGGGGAGACTATTAAGCCTATATAATTACTTTTTGGATTGAATTAATACAAAAATGAAATATTTTTCCTATCACATATCAATAAGTCAATACCTCATTGATTGATTGATTAAGAATATCTAGCAATTACCGAGATTTATTCGAACCTTTTCATAAATCCCAAAAAGAAGAGTTTTACATAACTGAAAACCAAACATATGAGAAATACTTAGGTAAATAATTTTTCTTCTATTAGATACAACACCACAAGCACCACTGAATATTCAATATAAACAAATCGCTTCGAATCTTTTAATATCTTGGGAACCTGGTTATGACGGTGGTCATTCTCAACATTTCATTATTTGGTATCGTATAATTGAAAATAAAAAACAAAATTGGAATCAAATACGTGTATTACCTAATAATGCAACTGAATTTTTCTTATTTGATTTAAAATTACAACAAACATATGAAGTTACAATTGTTGCTGAAAATTCGATTGGTTTAGGAATATTTAGTCCAATAATATCAATATATTTAAATGATAATCAAGATTTATCTATTGGATATCTTCATTATTCAAATGAAACAAATTTCTTACGACCATTATCACCAACAAATCTTCGTCTATCAAATTCCGGATCAAATCTTCATATAACATGGAATCAAGCAGATTTATTTGATTCACCAATAAATATTGTCAGTTATGTTATACAATGGCGTTCAACAATTGTTTTTAATAATCAACAATCACAACAATTTATTGTTGTTCCATATCCTATACGATCTTATATATTAAAAGATATAAAAGAATCCAAATATATTATTCAAATAATGTCTTATTCTAATCAAGGAACATATAGTATTCCAATTGAATCAGATATTAATATTCGTATGTATTTCGGGGATTTTGTTATTTAATAATGCAAATAAAAATCGAATTTTTCTTTTAGAATTTAATTCAATTCTTGCTTATCATGGTTCAAGTCGATTTTTAATATCAATACTTTGTTTTCTAACTGTATTAACAGTAGCAACAGTATGTATTGGCATATTTTGTGTTCTTAAACATTATTATCATCGACGATCGTATTGTACAAATCATAAAACTGGTAAAGAAAAAATAATTAAATAATAAATAAAATAAAATTTCTAAATAAATAGATTCAATGTTTACATGTTGGTGTTTTCCTTCGATTCAATATCGGTAAATAAGAGAATTTTATTGTAGAAAATAATATTTCGATTTCAATAGATTGAATAGTTGTTCTTCTATGGAAAAGGAACAACGATATTGCGCAAGTCTTTTAAAATCAAATGATCTTCAATCATCACCGATTTATACATCTCGACAAAAAATGACATCACAAATAACAACTAAACCACATCGACCATTATCATCTTCGGAGAGTTTTACTGATTCATCAATATCATTAGCTAAAGTTACAACAATTCCAAGTTGCCGAAATTCAATTATATCAAATACAATAGAAATACAACCATTAACATGCAATTTATTATCAACAGAAAATTCACATGTGATACCATCATCTACTCTTACATTTGTCTTAGTACCAAATACGAATGATGATACTAAAATGACTTCTTTTTTTCAACCAATATCAGTTAGTAATGCATCAGCTATAGCTCATAATGATATGGAAAGTCGAAAGAATAGTTCTCGTTTACCACTTGAAGCTGTACCTGAATTAAGTGAACTAACTGTAGCTAATAGTCGATATAGTTTTACTCCCTCAGTTTCATCAATAGCTCATCATCCACATTCAATTCAACCTAGTCCTGTTCTTGTAACATTTGATTCGAATTCATCAAAACATCCTATATAAAACGAAATGAATATTTTACCCCTAGTCAGATTTAATATTTAATATAATCTCATTCAGATCCCCACATTTCGATTCAATCTCAGATAATTTCACATCTTTTTTTTTAATATTATTCTTGTACAACTTCATATTAATTACTTTTTCTTTTTTTTTTATATTATATATACATTGACTATTTGACATGAAAATATCATATTGCAATAAATCAATCTAATGCTTTTCTTTTTGTATTCTAGATTTTTAAACTTTTTACAAAATTATGGCAAAATCACGGTAAGTAGTCATTTATCTTCTTTCTTTTTTTACAATTAACAATTTCTTTTTTCAGAACTAATAACAAAATAATAAGTAATATAATAAATATAGTCTGTGTAAAAATATGTCGCACTAACTAGTTTATATATCATTAGAACAGTTCAAGAGTTGAACTATAGATTTTTCTATTAAAAACACTAATCGGATTTGTTTCAATATTTATAAATGTAGGACATTTTTCGAAAGTAAAGTTTAGTGGATTATTTCGGTCTTCATTATAAATAGTGCATGTATACGTTAGTTATAATTTATTCTTGCGGTTTAAACAAATATCACTCGCCATTATCGCAAGTAGAAATGTAAAAATGTAAAAAATTTAAGAATATATCTATACCGCAATTGTGGTTTACTTTTCTTTCGTATTATCTTCCAAAATTCCATTACTGTACGAGAATGTAACCGCATTAATACTGAAAAGATTGATTCTCATTTATACACTACTCTTTTTTTTAATCCTACGACTACCATACATGGACGTTTTTGTCCATATTAGTAAAAAGTTTATGTTACAGTATAATTCACCTATACATCTTTTGTTTCTGTCTTCCTATCTTTTATATCGTATAGATGTCGTAGACATCATACATATATATATATGTATGTTCTTTCCTCTCTTCCACTTTTTGTATATTCTAACTGCGTTTTTCTTATTATTTCGTTCTATGATTTTTCTTGAGTTTATGATTATTTTGAAGCCCTTGCGAAAATTTTCTAGTTTGTTTAACAACATAGTATAATGTACGTTTTTACGATTAATCAAAATATAAATCATAAAGTTGAGTAGAGTCGAATTTTTTATGATTTTTATATATATATGAACAAAAATATTCTTGTATAGTATTCGAAAGATTCATAGTTAACTGTGGCCATCATCATATCTGTTATTTTCTCCTTGAAGACAATAATTACGAACATAAATACCCATTTTTTTCACATTTCTTTTGTTCGACCTTTTTATGGCACATTCACCATAAGAAAAACTGATAAAAGAGAAAGGTTGCGTGCAGCTAATACAAAAAATGAAAAGAAAACTATGTAAAAAGAGAGAATCAGTATATTTTTGTGTACGATATCAATACATGTAGATTTCGTTCTCATTCTTTTGATAATACTAACTGATATTCGTGCAATGCATAATATACAAGTATAAATAACTTCCGAAAAAAAAAATTTCAAATGTATTTCATTGTAATTTCATGCTGTGTAATTTGATATAGTTTGTAGTTGTATGTTAGATTAGTTATTGAGTGTTGTATTCGTTTTAATTTAATTAATTCTTTTCAATATTAGTATTGTTTTCATTTTTATCTAGTGCCGAAGAAACTGAAATGCTTCAATCAACAACGTTGTCGACTAGAGTGGTTCCAATTGCTTATGAAAAACCGGCGAAAAATCCGATTTTCTTTCCAGCGCTTTTAATTGGTCTTCAAGCAGTTTTTATCATTCTATTAGGTTTACATGCTGAGTATGGTCATGAACCAATTGGAAATCATATAACATTACCAAAACATTCGGTTATAAGTTTTCCAAATGGGACTCATGTTCGTATTCACGACGAAGCAGAAACACCACATCGAGGCATTGCTGATTTCTATTCAATGTTTCAAGATATTCATATTATGATATTTATCGGTTTTGGATTTTTGATGACATTTCTTAGAAAATATGGGTACGTAATTATAATCTTTGTTTAGAGAAGAAAAAAACAATAAATAATATGACTATTATATTATAGATTCAGTGCAGTTGGTTATAATTTTCTTGTTGCTGCATTTGTTCTCGAATGGGCATTAATTGTTCGTGGTTATATGTTTGATTATGAACCAGCAACAAAATCATTTCCTATTGATATTGAACGAATTATAGTTGCTGATTTTGTTGCGGCAGCTATACTTATTTCATTTGGTGCTGTGTTAGGAAAAACAAATCCAACACAATTAATTGTAATGGCTTTTATTGAAGTTTTACTTCAATCAGCTAATGAATATATTGGCCTTAAACGTTTCTGTGCTTTTGATATTGGTGAATCAATGTTCGTTCATGTGTTTGGTAAATTCTTATAAAATATAAAAAATATTTTTTTTTATACAATTTTTCTTTTTCTCATTCATAGGTGCCTATTTTGGTCTTGCAGTAGCTTTTATGCTTTATGATAAAGAATTAACAAGTGTAGAAGCCGAACAAAGAGAAAAATCAGTTTATCATTCAGATCTTTTTGCTATGGTTGGTACTATTTTTCTCTTTTGCTTTTGGCCATCATTCAATGCCGGTGTAGCAGCAGCAGGCGATTCACGTCTTCGAGCTGTTGTCAATACTTATATTAGCATTGCATCCAGTGTTTTACTTACTTATATATGTTCGTGTTTATTTAGTAAGGAGAAAAAATTTGATATGGTTCATATTCAAAATGCAACATTAGCCGGTGGTGTTGGTAAGTTCAAATAATGAAAAACTTTTACTTCTATATATATTAAATAAATTTTTCTTTCTTGTTTTTATTTAGCTGTTGGAACAGTTGCTGATAAAATTATTCGCCCATTTGGCGCTATGATTATTGGTTCAGTAGCTGGTGCATTATCAACAATTGGTTTTCGATTTATTAAATCTACTCTTCAGAAATTTAAAGTTCATGATACATGCGGTGTAAACAATCTTCATGGTATGCCCGGTTTACTTGCTGGTATATTTGGTATTATGTTAGCTTTTCTTCCTGCTTATTCACTTTATAACGAAAATATAATTCCTGTATGTTGGCATTCAACCGAACGATCACATTTAATGCAAGTTGGTTATCAAGCTGCTGCATTAGGTACTACACTTGTTATTGCGATTACTGGAGGTATTATAACAGGTCTCATACTTCGCTTACCATTATTTAATGATGAACGTCCATCATCTTATTACAACGATCATACTCATTGGGAAACACCCGATGATTTTCATGATGCTCATTCAACTGCTTTAATTTCAAGTGAAACTGAACGTCATGTATAAACTTATCAAAGAAAAAAAACATTTTAATCATGTTGTTTCATTTAGTGATTAGAGAACAGTAACTTAGAAAAGATTTCATTTCTGCTTTCATGTTTTGTTTTTTCTACCAAAAAAAAATTGATTTTACCAGTTTTCCTACCTATAGTTTGTGGTACAAGTTGATCTTTACTTTTTTTTCCTATTTTTAATTTTTTTTTCTTATTTTGAAATAAAGAAATCATTATGTGATACATTTATTCATATAATATTAGTATTTTAAGAAGAAGAAGAAAAAAGAACGAATAACTACGATATCATTTGGAGTAATAAAAATAGAAATCAAGTTTTGGCATACTATGTTATATATAAAGTTTTGAAATATTATTCAAATGATAGCTGTCACAGTTGAATTCTACGGAATCAATTTATCTATTAAGGATTAGAATTTTAAAGAAAAATATTGCTGAAATAATTGAAGATCCCAAGTCAAGTGATTAATATATTGTTATTTTATGGTATTTCTAGTATACTAATCAATATCAATCCAGACTATAAGATAGATGTCATAATTACTGTAGTTACAAAACAAAACAATAGCTATCTCATAATGTATATTAGATAGATTAATTCTCTTCTAGATATTCTTTGTCCTAGAAAAATACTTCGCTCGTATCTGTCCTAGATGACATATATAAATAGATATATAAATAAACATAGATACATAGGCAACATACTAGAGGAGTAAAATAACAAATTAAATTAATTCGTAGTTATGCATAGATAAGCTCTGATATTTTTGTCATATTAATAATACTATCTTGTATGATAAGTATTTAGAGAAGTTAATTAATTGTTTATTTTCATTGAAAATAAACAATAATCTATATATTGATAATACTAACTGAGAAAGGAGTAGTAAATTTTATGCAAACCTATCTTATAACCATCGAATAGATTGATAATCTATACAATGTGTCTAAAAAGCATATATTTAATATCAATAGTAAATCGTTCTTTTATATATATGCTTTGAGACAATGCTAATGTATTTTAAAATCGAATCCATACTTTTTTTTTCTTTTTATATAGCTAAAACACTTCTATTCATATGTATATTTCTTTTAACAGTATAGTACATATGGTATTTCTTTTTTTTTCTTCTATTACACGAATAAAGTTTGTTTATAATATGACAGTACAAAGATCAGTCGCACACTTCGTTACTTAATTATAGGAGTAATATATATGACAGCTATTTTACATCTCAATGTTTATTCATTAATCTAAATTTGATGTTTAGTTTTGTTTTATTAAGTATGTCTGATGATATAGTATTATCACAGATAACGATTGATGCGATAATTAATGCTTAATACAATTTAATTGATAAGAAGAGATCGAGATAGAATTATATTACATAAGTAAGTTTTTCAACTAGATAATAATTAAGAAATAAAAAAAAATCTAACCGTTAGTATACATTTTAAATTAATTAGTTCATAAATAAATCAAAATTATTATTATTGCCATTTTATATTCAAATTTATTCTTATAAAATTCTTTATAATTTATAGAAAAAATCATATCATGCGATTTCGACAAGTATGTCTTCATGTTCAATTAAGTATATCATCTTATCAATGATTGACAACAGCTTGCATAAGTTATATTAGATAATATTGTTTTTATGTTTGGATAGAAAATCGCTCATAAATATATTTAATGACGATTCATCCTAACTATATGCATCTTGTTTATCTGATGATGTGATATACACCTGTGTCCATACGATTGTCATATTTTTTCATCGCAGTTTGTCTGAATGATGAAAGACAAGCCAACGTCTAAACAATCATACTCCTCTTTTTTTTCTTCTCCGAACATTTTGAGAACGATAGAGAAGAAAGATGGGTAGCGTTTCTTTGTTCGCTCGACTTGCTGCGTTCTTCACTAGTTAGATGTAAAAATGAAGCACTATGCTTGTTACACATACCAAGACCGATTGTCTCGCTTGCTTCCTTTTTTTTTTCTTTTTCGCTATAGCATACACACGCACACACGCATAGGCGAGAAGAGAACGACTAATCGCTCTCTTCTTCTTCTTTTTTCAGTAGACGATGGAATGCACAAACGGTTACAATGACGATGACTTTTTCAAGAGAAAGACGCCTGTTACCAATGTGCCGTGATCGATTAGTAAACAGCTAGTTATTTTGGTTTGTATTTCTAGTTTACAATATTATTTTAAGGTAATAAATATAAAAACTCTCTAGATTTAATTTTATGTAATTTTTTTGTACTTTCATTTTAGATCCAATCATGGATATACATTCATTGATGGGTCGAGCTTCGACCATGATGTCGGGCAAACGAAATGATGATAGTATGTCTGACAGACTTAATTATCGATATACAGTTGCCATTTTGGTTATTTTTGCCATCATCAATATGAATCGTTTATATACAGATCAAATTAAATGTTGGGTAAAAAAAGAAATCTTTATTTACTATTTATTTATTTGTTTGTTTTTCTTTTACATAAAAGGTACCAGCATTTTTTACACCAAATTATGATGAATATGTTCGTTCCGTATGTTTTGTTCAAAATACTTATTATGTTAAACATCTAGATAAAGTTCCTAAAACATATAAAAGAAAAAAAGAAAGTGAAATCTTATATTATCAATGGATTCCATTTCTTTTACTTATTAAAGCATTTTTATTCTATATACCACGTATATCATGGAATACATTTGGTTTAAAAAGTGGTGTACAATTATCTGATCTTGTTGAATCATCATTTGATTATAAAATGCCAACAACAGATGCAGCACATCGTCAAATGTGTCTTGATTATGTTGTCGATACAATCGATGAATATTGTAATGATCATCGTCGACAGATTACTACACGAAAAGATTTAAATACATTCTATCGAAAAATATCTGCTGGTTGGTGTCTATCAGGAAAATATCTTGGCAATTATCTTGTTGTTTTATATATAACAACAAAACTAATGTATATTAGCATATCATTATTTCAAATATTTTTATTAAGTATACTATTAGGCTCTAATTTTGCTTTTTATGGTATACAAGTTATTGATCGTCTCTTTCGAGGTAAAATTCTTCTTGTTTTTTTTTATTTATTTCAATAAAATCTATTGTATAGGTATTAATTGGGATTCCGAAACACGTTTATTTCCTAAAACAACTTTATGTGATTTTACTGTACGAGAATTTGGTCATCCGAAATTAGCTCATGAATATACTGTTCCATGTGTTTTACCATTAAATTTATTTAATCAACAAATGTTTACATTTCTTTATTTTTGGTATTGTATTGTCATATTATTAAATATTGGCGATTTTTTCATATGGTTATATACAATTTCTCCAAAAAATCGTCGAGCTTTTATTCTTACACGTCTTCATTCGAAAAAATATCCATTAACAAATGAAACAAGAGATCTTGAAAATATTCGTATATTTGCTGATGATTATCTTGAAGCTGATGGATTTTTTATGTTAACATTAATTAAAGAAAATAGTTCCGATTTTGTTGCATCAGAAGTTATTCATCATTTATATAATGAAAAATTTCTTAAAAAATATTTTAAAGAAACAACAAGAGCTCGAACATCGACAATCTATGATGCTATAGATACGAAACAAGATGATGATTCAGATAGTAATACAAAACAACGTCGACAATTCTGTTCAATGATTTGTTAATTTAATCCCTTTTTTTTTGTTTGTTTTTGTATGTATAAAAATTTACCAATTGTGTAAAATAGATTATTTAAAAAAAAACTTATCTTTTTCTCATTTAAAAAAAAAACAATGCATTCTGTTCGGATAAAAAAAAGAAATGCCGATTAGAAAAAAAAGTTCTCACTTGAGATAATACTCGTTTGAAAAAGAACAATAAATACAAGAAGTGTTGTTATACCGATGAAAATAATTTTACCAGGTCGAACTGTTAATCCAAATAATTTCACACGTAAACCTGCTTTCGAAAGAAAAAGTAGAAAACCATCAAGTTCACTCGATGTAGCATTTGGATATCCATACACACGCATTGAAAGACTAATCCGATAAAATTTATCACATTTAGATGTTACTCGCGCAGCCTAAAGAAATTATATTTAAAACAAAACAATGAATTAAATTAAAATTTTACTTGTCCAAGACAAAATGCAAGAATAGAAAACCAAACCAATGTATACAATGATCGATAAATCCACATATCAGCTTGAAAGATTCGATTCATGACGAGTAAAATAAAACCTTTAGAAATAAAGAATTGAATATTTCATTATGATTTTAAGTTTAACTATTTTTAAATTTATAAAACTTAGATGAATAAAAAAAAAGAGGATTTAATTTAATACCGAGTATAGTGCGTTCAATAAAGAAAATAATTAATATTGACATCATTCGAGATGCTGCACTATTCAATTGACTAATTGATACACCAAGATCAAGAATTCTTTTCATAGCTTCAAGTAGATTTATTGATTTTTCTTCTAAACGTATTCGAATTGCTTTACAATAAAAAAGTATCATTTCACAATGACATGCATAATTCATAACAACAGCCATATGAATACAGTTCGATATGAGAAGACAAATAATATCGATAGTAAAAAATATATATCGTTCAGGTTTACTATAAAAAAACGAATTGAAAATATTTATTTATTTTTATTAAAATTAACTTACTTTTGTACAACATGAAATTGTGCATCGTGAAAAATTAGGGTATGAGCAAAATCATTCATTGCATTGGAAAGAGCATGTGTAGCTACAGATACAAGTACCCAAACAGATCCAAGAAGCATGAATAATCTAATAAAATTAATTAAAATATTAGTTTTTCAATTTTCTTGTTTTTTTTATAAATTAATTACTTTAATCGTCGAATAGCTCGATTTATACCAAATAAACGTATATTTTGATGATCAGCATGGATAAAAACCTATTGAATAATGACATATTATAATACAAAAAATTTGAATAATTCTTACTTTTTCCATTAATGAATACATAGGTTCACCTTCTGTAACACGAAAATAAATAAAACCAATAATAAAAGCAACAAAATGAAAAATATCAGGTAAAATATAAGTAGTAAATATATGACCACATTCAGCATGATTATGTATTAAAGCCATAGTTACATTCATTAACGGTGTCGTATGTGGTCTAGTTTTTCCCGGTTGAAGTGTAGCCCAAGTTCCAGCTGAATGATTTCTAGTTACACCCGTTGTTATAATATCCGTTTTTGTTGTTGTACGAACGGTAGTTGATGTCTATTTAAATAAGAATAAAATTTTTACTTAATTTGAATAGAAAAATATACTTGTGTGTCTGTGATAACATTCAATTTTCCTTGACAAATAATAATTTCGTAAGTATAATTAAATAAAAGTAACATTAATATTAGAATAGGATAAATAATATTGATAAGACGTAAAAAAATTGATGATCGTTTTAAACTATCAACACCGAAAGGTCTCCAACCAATCTAAAGAAATATCGAAAAAGAATACGATTTTAGAATTATTTAAATAAAATTATTTACTAAACAAAGTAATTTTCGAAATGGATGTAGTATTTCTTTTTTGCATTTCATTAAACTCAGCGTTGTTGGATTTGGACAAGAATTGTCAAGATCAGATATCTTAATAAAAATAATTATCGATATTTTTTCATATAATTTACTTACTTCAACTTTAACACAATCAAAGTCATCGTCGGTATTTATTGATTTATTATAAGGATAATTATGTATGGAAACTACTAAGGACTATAATGCAAAAGATAAGATCAATAAAATCTATTTTAATTTGTTTATTACTTTCGGTGAATCTGAAGAATTTGCAGCCATCTTTTTGACAAGTATTTAAATAAAATTCCCTTCTTGTTTTTGCTCACTATACCTTGGACTGTATGACGACTATACTAATGTTCTTATCACATCATTCAAGAGAAACGAAAACATCTAGTAGAAGAAAAAGAATAGAACGAAACATACATAGTACACTTTTGCTACATCTTATTTTACCTAAAAGGATAGAAAAATTAATTTCGTAAGAAGCATGGTGAAATTCGCACACAAACAGACGAGATAGTTTTATCTTGACCTCGAAATTACTTCTTTTTTTTTTTTATTTTATATTTCGTTCTTATCAACAATCACGTTTTAAATAGATAATATTCATCATATGTTTAGAATTTTAGCACATGTCTCTATTTGTTTCTTTTCATTTTTATCTCTTTATTTAATACACATCAAAAAGAGAAAATAAATCATTAATTAAATAATTTAATAGCCATAGATATTTGGTTAAAATGCTAAATAAAGGTCAAATGCCATTTCAAATACAGTTATAAGATACATATACATATTAACATATGAGAAGAAATAATAAGGTTTGCCTTCGAATAATTATATGAGAAAAACAGACTGGCATTCCACGCCCTTATGACCGGATTAATAACCGTTTTGTAAGCCTAAAGATATATCATTTCAGCTACTTTATCTATTATTCTATATACCAGTAGACAACATATACCGATCTATTTATAAACGTCAATATATGAAGGAAATATAGTATCTTTTCTCAACCATGAAAGGGATCAACAAATAATCGACCATAGACAAGACAATAATGGTCTATGCTAGTATATAAATATGACCGACATAGACGAGATTTATGATGGATTTAAACGGCAGCTATTCTTCTTTACTGATTGAGAACAACAACAACATTTATAACTATTGACTTGAGCAATATCATCTGCTACCGATTGACGTCATACATGTAATCAACACTTCTCGTTTCTTTGTCTCATATAAATATCGCTCATCATCAATTAGCCTATAGATTAAAAAAAATCTATCTTTATATCATATCAATGTCATATAGGCTTTTTCTGTTCTTGACAACCATGTAATATACAGAATAAGTATAAAGTCTATTACATTGATATGACCCGTCCTTCATTTGTCGATGAGCAGAAAAACCTAACCATTTGTTAAATATGGCAAGACAGATGTTGTTCGGACCAGGGTCGTGTGCATATATGCATACATGAATGTACATAAACAAAAGTACAAAGGAAAAGAGAGAGAGAGAGACACAGAGACACAGACCAACAGGCGTATAGAATAATCAGCAATAAATCTATTGCTAGTAGAAAATCCTAGAGGAAAGACAAACATATAAAGAACCACGGGAATATTTTTCATAATTGCACAACTATCATCCTAACACTCGTGCTATTCATTTGACATCTGAGGAGTTTTCATTGACAGACTTTTAGATTATCAATAAACGTGGTTGATATTCATCCTTGGAATTTGAGATGGCTAACGATGATTCTCAAAGCATCAGCTGTGCTCTTCTTAGCAGCGATGAATCCCAACAACTCAATAATGATATAAGTAAGCAATTAACACGATCGTCAACAATTAAACCAACAACTAATAATGTAAAATGGACATTACGCAATAGTATATCAACTGCTAGTCTACGTAAATATCGATCACCTTTTCGTCGTAGTGCAATGAAAAGTTCATCAATCAAATCAAATTCACAATTTCCAGCTCCACCTTCATTTCCATTATTTCGTCGTTTTTATCTTATGCGAAATTCATTTGCACGAAAACGACAACGTGAATTACCGGATAATATTAGCAATTCAAATGCATTAGCAGCATCTTCAGAAAAAATATATTCATCACCACGTATTAAATCAAGTCATGTTTTAACGTCAATTTTTATTATTCTTATAAGTGGATGTCTTCTTATATTTATGATTATTCTTGATTTATTTTATTTGGATGATGCAATTCTAAATTCTTTTAAACAGAAAACACTTAAATCTAATATAAAAAATAACAGTACATTATGTTATCATCATCCGAAAGTTTGTGCTATGAAAGGTTTAGTAATTATTGTATTTTTTGGTATTACGATAGCTTTATGCTATATTATTTTGACTTTATATACCCGTGCAAGACGTCATACACGTTTATTAGAACGTAAAACAGATGAATTAGAAAAAGAAAAATGTTTAACTGAAAAATTACTTCATGAAATTTTACCACCATGTGTAGCAAAAGATTTAATTAATGGACGAAAAGCACCTGCAGAACATTATGACTTGGTAACTGTCTATTTTTCAGATATCGTTGGTTTTACTGTTATAGCAAGGTAAAATTCTATTCATTTCTATTCTTAAATTTTTGTTCATATCTAATTATAATTTAGTACATGTACACCGAATGAAACTTGTGATATGTTAAATAGACTTTATTCTATATTTGATTCTTTATTGGAAAATTTTGATGTTTATAAAGTTGAAACAATTGGAGATGCTTATATGGTTGTTTCGGGTGCACCAAAAAAGAATGGTGATAAAGTAAATTTGTATATCTATAGAAATAATTATATGATAACAAATAAATCGTTTGTTATTTATTCTAGCATCCTAATGAAATTGCCAATATGTCACTGGCCTTACTTCATTGTAAACAACAAGTTCATGTACCCCGTAGTACTGCGCAACTCAAATTACGCATTGGAATTCATACAGGTATTGATTTTTATCAATAATGTAGATTGTTTAATAGAAAAAAATTATTTTTGACAGTTCTCTTCTATGATGAATGATATCAGCAAGATATCTAATCATTATTATCGTATGATTCGAAAATAAATATCATAAAAAAATGTTAGGAATTTCTAAGGAAAAGTAGGATATTCCTTTGATTATTTGGTATTAGTTTCAAAGAGAAAGTTTAAATTAGAGCTTATTATATATATACAGGAAATGATAATATGACTTGTGGTTCGACGTAATATAGTAAATATAAGAGAGATAAATACGTTGATAAATTTGCGACTGGAGATTTAGCGTATTTATTTTTTTGGCAGTAATAGATTATTGCACCATATTTTTATCTGGTTGAATTATTATCCGTCGACATTGAAGGCGATATTTCTAGGTCTCGATGACAAATGACTAAATTAAACGTTTGTTAAGAATAGCAGTGTTAAAACGATTTTCTAGATACTATTTTTATCATAGAAGAAACTACATTTAAATATAGAAAAATATAAAAGAGTAAAGGGTAATCGTTGTCTACAACGAGAATTAGTCTATTTATATTGACAAATGATATCTGTCGCTGTCTCTAGAGAAATAATACATAAGAACGAATTTTAAAAGTTTTTATATATATTTTGTTGATAATTACAGGACCTGTATGTGCTGCAGTGATTGGATCTAAAATGCCACGTTATTGTATGTTTGGTGATACTGTAAATGTAGCTAGTCGAATGGAATCAAATGGATTACCTGATAAAATTCATATGAGTGATGATACATACAAACGATTAATAAATCGAGATCAATATATATTTGAAGAACGAGGTGAAATAGCAATTAAAGGCAAAGGACATATGCGTACCTATTTTCTCCTGGATAGAAAACCGATTCGAACAGGATCAAAATCACGTTCAAATACAATAATTAAAGGAGAACGAGATGCTTTATAAACTGCTTGTTGTGATAGAAACATTTTTATTTTATTTTATTTCATCTTTGTTTACTTTTTGTCTTTCCATTTCATATGCATGTTAACAAATATTCTTCAAGATTTTTTTAAAACGAATTATGACTGTAAAAGATTAAACCTCTATTTTGACTATTTTGTCAATTTATTTAATATAGAATATATTATTCAATTTATTTTGTTTTATTTTTTTATATTTAGTCGTATCTTTAATTTACTTTCAAAAAAAACAATTAGTTAAATATTTCTAAATTTAATAAATTTAATGTGCATTTATATCGTTTTAACTTTATTAATGATTTAGAATATAAATTACATTTTGATCACAACAACAAAAGTCTTATTCATACGATAGATTTCGCAATATACTCAATTGGTTATCGTATTAGTGGTTTGATTGAATAAAAAAATTAAAAGGAATAAGAATAAAATCAGACCTCGTTTATTGTGCAAATCTAATCTTAATACTATCTGACCTCAAAGATTCAATGATATTTAAAGAAAAATATAATTTTTGAATCCTTATTTTATAGTGATTTAATCGTACGATTTTGATTTTAGTTCTTCACCGATGATAATTTAAGCAGAAAAGGAGTGATCTCATATAACTAAAGTTAAGTTTAATTAACTCTCGAGATGTATTCATACATAAAATCAATATAAAAAGAGTTTTCTCAGTAAATATACTGTACAATTGGTTCTAGTAAGAACACAATATCATCTATTTGATGGATGGTTTACACTTAAGAAAACATTCTTCGATACACTGATTATAAACCGTTCACTAACTGATTCTGACACGTATGAAGAATTCTATCGATTTTACATGTCTTATTTGTCAGATTCGATAGAAACATTATCTCTTTCACTAAAACAAAAAACAACTATTTACCAAGATTGACATGATCAGATAACTGACAAATGTGACAGTAAAAACAAAAGAACATGGAACGTGAATGAGCTATTTGGATTAAATAAAACGAATATATAGATTTCATTATATTCATTTTTGTTATGTATTATATTTTATACTGTATAAAAAATACATATTTCTCTACTGTAATAATTTTTTGCAGTCTATTTTGTAAACAATATTATCCTCATACATCTTCATATAGCACTGATGTACAACATTTGTTTCTATCAACAATCAATGACAAAGAGTTGAAAAACATGTCTCAGTCGTATAGACAAAATTTTCAAAGGAAATAAATAGAACAATTTAATTGGTAATATTCCACATGATAAAGAAAATCATTCATATAAATACGCATTGATGACGATAAATTAATCTATATCTATACAATAGTCATCAAAAATGTAGGAAATCGTCGTATTTATGTTACGAGATCAAGTTTGATTGTCTAATATTATTTATATGTTACAGTTTTTTAATAGTTAACCAATTGACTTATGAATATTAATAAAACTATGAGTTTCAATATTTTACTAATTATTCGAAGCACTCAAGCATATGCTCCATTATTATTCATGGTCTTTGAGTTTTTTTTTCTGTTACACTGTAAGAAATATTTTATACAAACATATGTAAATACATTTATAAGACATTCGTAAGAAATATGATACTAAATTACATTTATATTGAATATACGAATATGTTTTTTCGAAATCATCATATCGAACATTTTTACAAAATTTTGTTTAACTATCATCAATGTAAGCAGAATACATGGCAATACTGAATATATATATTAAATAAGGAAACAAATCGACCAATAATTGAAAATAGCTGAAGATAGATTCTGAGTAATTTCGAATAGTTTGTCATTCATACAATAATGGTACTCGAACATTAAATAGATCATTAGGCAGTACTGTTTACAATGATAATTTTATCAAAATACATTTGAGCCAGTGAAGAAAAATAATTGTTAAACGTGATTCAGAACGATCATAGTTGACGATAGAAATGGTTATTTCATGCATTTGTGATTGTAAATCGACATTTTAGAATATATCGTATTATGTTCGAAATTGAGTATTCCATTCTTTACAATACTGATCTACAATAGTTGTAGTATGACATTTTTTATCAGTATGAAAAATTTGTTCACAAGCATACTCGATTATTCCGAGAGAAAACAAATCATTATTGTTAAGATAATCATTAACATTCGTGAATAAATATTTTATAAATATTCTATCTAAGACACAAAAAATGAGCAGCCCCCCAGTCATATTACTTTTTAATTTTTTAATATATGAATGTCATACTAAATAGAAAACTTCGATAATTTCGCATGAAATCTTAAGAATAGCTTTTACTATATGCATCATTCGTGATATGTCAATAGTTTATAGCTTTGACAATTATATTTGAGAAATCAATCTTGTTCGCATTCTTTTACATACATTATAGTTAATGATATCAATTGGATAAGAATGCAGATTATACATTGTATATTTTAGATAAAACATTTATACTACTGTGCAATGTGACTATAAGAAGACTCAAAACTTTTTTTTTTACAATGGATCATTATCGGAAAAGGATGTAGACTAATCATTAATCAATAGTACTATTGATTGAATGCAATTGCATGTGTTCATCATTATCGTCATCAGATTATAGCTTTTATCTTTTTTTTAGATGACTTTTATTGATGAATATTGTGAGTATATCTTCCTTTGAAAACATAATCCATCAAAGTAGTTAATATTATTAAATAATGATCTTCTTTGAAATACTTTCGGAATAATAGCTTTTAATTCTTCTTGAAAGAAAAATTACATCAAATAGTAGAATATTAATAGATTCAAGAATCATTCAAGTTTATTAAGACAAATAAATAGTAGTTAGCACTGCTATTGATTAATGTGTTTAAATTAACGAGTATCTATCAGAATCGCAGTATTAGATAAAGAAAATAACTCATAGAGTGCTTAGATAAATGCAACGCTTTTGCTTGATAATTATATTTTTTCTTCATTGATTTAACATCTTATTGTACTTATATTCTATTACGCATAAATCATATTTTTTAAACATATTCATGTTAATACTCGTAATCTTATCTTCTACGATAAACTATAGTTTTCAAGCGTTGTGTTTATCTGAATAAATTAAAAGCATATACTGATTTTTCTGCTATAATCTTCGCGTAAAGGCCACAATCTTTAGGTCAAGAATGATACAACAGACATTTAGATAAACTCGATTCTTTAAAGTAATAAGTGGATAGACAGTGCAATTTGTCAGGTATCATATGAGTGTTATCAACATCTTTTGCGATACATTAACCTTACTAGTTTTTATCAGAAAAAAAACAGTATATTCGTCGTCGAGCTTGTTTTCTTTTCTTTCTCTTTTCTACAATATAGACAACGGCTTGTTAGCTTTTTTATGAGAACGAAGATCTTCGGTCTTTTTACGACCAATACTTTTTATTTCTCTGTCTCTCTCTCTCTCCCTCCCTTTATTCCCTAATATCCAAAAGCAGAATGACAGAGAGAGAAGTACTTTATCTGTATATTTATATGGATTTCATATCACCATAGCAAATAATATTTGTATATTAGACAAGAAAAACGCTGTCGACAGCCTAAGACAGTGATAAGTATACTGTATCTTAAGATTAGTTTCAATTATTAACAAAAGTTCATCAAATGAGTAACAATTGATCGTGTTTGTTTGTTTGTTTATTCAAGATCATATTTGCTCTTTATATTTCTACATATAAACAACATACACATAAATACATAAAATATGTACAATGATCTTGTACTGCTATCTCTACTTAAATCACGGTAAATAAGTGGTATCTGGACTATTATTTGTATTGTCGAATATACAACGAGTAGAAATTTTCCAACAACGAGCTTGTTTAACCAACAGTTATCTGCATCATTATCTATAATCGTCAAAACAGTACCAATAGCATGCGACCAACGAGAGAAACCTCAGCTTCAGCAGCAACTATAGAACAAAAAACCAAAATTTTACGTATAACACTTGCTGCTACAGTTCTTTCATTCGTCATTTTCTTAATAACACTTACATCGAGCCATTGGGTACTTGTTACGTATCCACCACCTAGTTTTTTTTCTATACGACAAAATATGTTTGTCAATCAATCTAGATATGGTATTATTTGGGAGTGTTTAAAATGTCGACCTAATGAATCTTCTGTATTTGGTAAGTATACATATCATATATATGAAGATAATTTTTAAAGTATAATCATAAAGAGATTACTAAATTAATAGTACAATGTAACAGGCTATTAAGAATTACATTATCTATTATTGAGCATAAAAGAAAATTTTTTAAAAGTATATGTTGTCTATACTACTGTTTTATATAGAAAATAAATGCGATTTTCATCCGAGTCATGTTCCAAATACATCGTTACCAGCTGAACAAACACTTATTGGTATATTTTTGACTATTCTTATTCTAAATAAACTTTTAATATAATATAAATTTCTTTTTGTATTACATTTTTAGGAATGACTCGTACAATGCTTTCATTTAGTATTATTCATATACTACTTGTAATTATTACATTTATTTGTGGATTGTATAGTATTCGTGATTATCGATATACTTATAAACGATTAACAGGCATGATTTATATTTTATCTGGTAATAAAAATAATAATAATTATTATTATATACGTTAATTTTTTATAAAAAAATTTCTTTTTTTGTCTGATAGCTGCTGCTCTTGTTGTTTGTATTGAAGTATTAAGTACAATATTTCGTCATTCAGTTGAACACTTATCTTATATTTATCCAACAGGAACAAAATGTTCATATGGTGTATGCTACATAATTGCTTGGATAATTTTTATTCAATTACTTGGATCATCGTTTATCTTTTTTGCTTGTAGCAAGAAACGAAAAGGTACATTTGATGAAGCTACAGAAGAAGAAGCCTTAGCTAATCGACCTGTTGATCTTGGTCGATCATTTAGATAATAAACTTGATTCCGTTCAATTAACAAGTAACATCAACTTTTTAAAAACAACTTAATTTTGGTTTTTGTTTCATATTGTATTTGTTAGTGAATATAATTATATAAATCATCCGAATAACTTTCTCATTCATGCACATATATACATATATATAATGTATTCTTACATTCGTATAAAAAAAAGTCTATATCTTATGTATAAAATTAGTATTGAAGCACATACAAATTAAAACTATTATGAAAACAACATATTTTCAGTTTGAATATTATCAAACTATTTTATATTTAAGAGAATGAAACTTATTTTAAAGCTGATACATTATCGTGACCTTTTGTCTCGAATTATCGGTAATTTGAATCTGACTAATCGATGATTATAACTAATATGTTTGCTTTTCCGATGATGACTAGTTTTTTGAGAATCACTAACACATTACTAGGAAATACGAAGTACAATAAAAATTTGCTATCAGAGTTGTGAGATGAAAATACTGATGATCTGTAATTATTGAGTAAAGAAAGAAAGAAAGCTGCACAAAATGACATTTTCTTCAATGAAGAATGTATCCAGAATGAATGATGACATTAGTGTATACAATCCTTGTCTCTGACGTTTATTATTGAGAATGAATCATTCTATGATTAAAAAGATATTAAGTATATAAATATGTAATTTGCATTTGCTTAATGATCATGTCCTTTAAATATAGAAATCAAAATATCATAAGTCGTTCATTTAAAATACATATGAATTACAAATAACGTTATGTTATTAAAAATTATTCTTAATTTAGTTTAATGATATTATCTAACAATGTTTTTAATAATCAATACTTGTGAAATATAGTTTCAAAAGTTTTATTTCATAATTTGTTTTTGTTTTAAATGCTGTATCTATAAACCGAAACAATGATTGCTTGTTGGCATTAAGTCACAAAATTATTTTAGCTCTTTTATCGAAAGAAGTACCATTAGTTACAAGAAAAATGGCCTAATTACGACAATGTTTATGAAGAAAGTATCATGCTGTTTTACTTTTACGTTATCTTTTGCTAAACATAGCTGTAGTTCTTCGATCATCTATCCTTTTCTCTTCTTTACGTCTAAAATAACACAATAATAATTCAGCAAAGAAAAGTACACTGAAATTGTTGCAAATATGATACAGAAGAGTTATGCAAAGAATTATTGTTAGCAAGATAGACTCAATAAAACAGATAAGCAAATAAAAGAAAGAACAAAGAATCGATAATTTAACTGATGATGTGATAAATATTTAGATAATTAACATGATAATTAAATAGATATATAATTAATTGAATTTTTTATTTTTCGCATCTAAGACTTTTTTCAATTTGGTCTGATAGAGAATTATGAGAATTTAAATAAAAATAATTGAACACACAATTTGTAGTTAGTTACGTTATTTAAAAGACGTTCAATTCTTTGAATGAGTTTATTATAATCATAACAGCCAGTATATTATGTGCAGCCATGTTATCAGATATTGTAAATGTAAAGACACTTATTAGATTCGTTCGTCTCGTACGCCTTCACAAGATGTTTGCTTAGATCATAGATAATTATTGGTATTTTTGTATATTCATGGAGTTTTTGAAAGTGATAACAGAATCATCTGATCAATGACAACATTGCCAATTATCTATCATAATACAATGTGTTTTTCGAATTATTTATTTTTGTATGCGACAAACAAAGATGAAAACGTACATTGTGAAAAAAAGATTCTTTCTGAATACATTTCGAAAAAAACTGCATCTTAAATTTCTTGAATATAGTATGGAAAATAGACTTGAACTTGTCTATGACTTTGATATAAATAGAAATGATGAAACTTTCGAAAACTATAGTATAAAATATATTTTATTGATAAGCAATGAAAAACAAAATTTAATATTGACATTCAAGTGCGTACATTATTGATAAATACTTAGGTTTTTTTTGCTGACTTATACTTTCTCTAAATATATCAGTTCAGAAATATAAACAATTGAATAAGTAAAAAATTAATAATCCAAAAAATTTTAAACAGACAAAAAATGTAATTTATGACTGATGAAAAACGTTTAGACGTAGATGTTAAATGTTATCGACATGAATTCCTTGATATGGAATGAAATGACGAGAATGATTATTCTTAAGACTCGTCAAATAAGCCACTAAAATACAAATCTTCTTTGTTAAGCATACGATGTACTTGAAATGATCAAATCTTATAGCATTAGAATAGATTAAACCTGCGACGACCTAGAAAATCTTTATTAATAGATTGTCAAAGTGCCATGGGCAATTATTTCGATTAAGGTGACTAAAGATAAGAAAATATATGTAATATAAAAAAAAAAGCAATTACTTTCTTATATGGTTAATTGCAAATTACAGTCTGATCTATATGAAACCTAATGGCGATAGAATTGATTCAATAACATGAAAAGTACACTATGAAAAAAAAGTGAAAATATAACAACTGATATAATAGATGTACTTGTGTACTTCGACAATATCATCGAGTAACTCAGTAATAAAATGAGATTGAAAACAGCCTTTATCATTTGACGAATGGCAGTGGCATTTTCATTCAAATGATTTATTATATGTTTCATAACTATGACAGTGTAAATATATTTAAGTGTTTGCAAGAAATAAAAAATGCAACATTACTTTGTCAAATTAGAAAAAATTGATATGACGTATCTGTCAACGTAGTGTATCGTGAATGTAAATATACTATATAGAGAATAAATCAGTTAACAGAGTTTGGATAGTGAGTTTATGCTTGATCGACTACAATAAATTAGTCATATCAACTGATTTTCATTGAGAATTATAAGTATATATCTGAACTAGAATACAATACAATCATTGCCTTAAGCATTTTATTTAATCCTTTTCAGTATTGATTTAGAACGAGACGATCACACGTTAGTATTCATTGTACTGTAATATAAACTTTCATTTTTTATCAAATAAACATATTCCTGCAGTCATCATCAACCATATAATAAACTAAAATTCATCAGAACAGTCTTATATTGATCATGAATTATTGCTTATTATTTACTCTATCGAGAAAGATCAACGATAATACTATATACATGTATATACATATATATGAAAGTATCCTTCAGGATATCAAGGAAAATGAATGACACATGTACTACGCTTGACACACAACGTATTTATCGCCAAAATGCAAAAGCGAATCAGATTATGAAGTATTTTAGTATCTTTTACATTACTTGTCTATAGTCTGTAGCGAAGTTATGACATTATTCTTAGACGTGCTTTTGATTCTATAACAGTAAAACAGTGACATTTTGATATGAGTTCATAATCTTCTTTTCATTTTTCACACCTTCATAATCACACCATCACTATCTTCTTCTTCTCTGTTCTCATATTTATCTTACAGATCAATACAATTATTTGTAAAAAATATCCGAAACTAAAAATCATTAAAAGTTCAATACAATAACATCAATATTCTTAATAAGAAATAGATTAAAAAGAAGCCAAGGTAAATAAAATGAAAAATTAATTTATGATTATTTGATGAGAAACATATGTTTTGATACTCATAGTATGTACGTTATATGACTATTCGATTGATCCATTTAGATTGTAGTATATTTAATAAATCGCTTATTTATGAATGCTTCCTGTCTATATTGAAAGGTAATGTTAAGAATATCGAAAAATAATGGACATCATATAAAAAAAAACTTCAAACAATACTAATTATCGGCTTCACACTTAAAAAAAGTTACTACATACATCCTTTTTTTCCATCGTAATCGATTGTACTCTCATTCACACAAAGTTGATTTTAACAGATGCGAAACATAACGATCACAATATCTATGTATGACAGATATATCTCATTTGAAAAAAAACTTTTCTCTCTATTTCTTTAAGGTTGTTTTGAAATTTTATCACTATCATTGATTAGTGCTCATTGTAATCTTTAATGAACCTAACATAATATTATAAAAAGAGTAGTTTCTTCTTGGATGATCTAACTCATGTATTAAAATAATAATATACTGAATAATTTTCTTTTCTTTTCCCAGTAATACATATTTGGCTAATAAAAGTTGATCGTTCAAACGAAATTAACAATTAATCTATAGTAAATTTGATATAGAAATCAGTCGGCAATCTTATCACATAAGGTCATTTTTTGGTATTGTGCATGTGATTGTTAAAGGTTAGCTTTGAACGAATGTTAATTGCATTGTTATCGGAATCGATTCGAACAACTTGATTTAGTTATTCAACTGACTAATATTATTGCCTTCATGACTGACATATATGTGCTGTAATCTCAACAGTAATATCTTTGTTTCCATTGATAATGATGACGACATATTCTCTTTATTTTCCGCTCAGTTTATATTTTGACTTTTCATGGTAACACTTTCTCCTCTTTTCTCCTTATATATTGTCTATGATAATGCATGCGTCGATAGATGAGAGAATATAAACATCATCTTAGATTACTATAATTATCTACTAGTGATAGAAGAAGGACTGAGAAAGAGAGAATGTTCGACAACAGTTGCTATAACTATTTGATGAACGACAACATCATGTAGATGAAGAAGCATAATATATATATACAAGAATGTCCCTACAATGCTTGATTGAATAAACCTTTTCCCTCTTCAACATCAGTAATCATCATTTCTTCCTTTTCTCTCTTTGGAACTATCGATGGACATAAGGGAATTTTTCTTTTTTTACTCTATTGCTTCATATATATCGTAGTGATTGACTGTGTACGTGACCTCTTTTTCTTTCTATTTACTATGATACATTTTTATAAGACACAAACGTTGATGGATATAGAACAGTAAACGGAATTTAATTATACAAAATTGTTCTATTATATCGTTAGTATTTGTGTGACGACTTTTTCATCTGAATTGTATAAATCTATACGATTGGTGAGTAAACGACACAATGGCTAGTATACTTGTCCATGCCATATGATTATTACAACAATTTGAGTATACTAATTATGCAGGTGAACAAAAAGAACATAGTTGATGGAAGCTAAACAGGCAAAACGTATGCCCTTCAACCCTATTGACGATAGTAAACACATGAATATGAGAAGTAGGGGACACGATATAAAGTCTTCCTTACATATATACAGATATGTATATATATATATATTTATATAAATCTCGGTTATCTTCGTTAACACTTCTTATAGTACCATAAATTGATTGCCCAGTGACATTAACAAAAGTTCTTCTTCTTCTGGTCTATAGTTAGAGCATCAAGGTTGATCAAGATGAGCTGAGAACAATTGGTCTACTATCTTTCTTGTTGTGTTTGTAAAAGTTACATCATCTATTTCTACGAGTGATAGTAGAACCTTCAAACAAAATAGTGATGCTCACTTTGTTGTTATCCAGCTGAGTTCACTTACTTTTTATCTACTTCGCATATGTTAAGTTACCTCACAGTATATTTGTCTTTTATTTGCGTCATTTACTTTCTTTTTCTTATTATATGAGCTTCATCTTTTTTCTCCTAGATGACCGATCCAGTTAATGCTGTTAACCGAAAACTTTTGCTTCTTTTCTCTTTTTTCTTTTGCATAACTCAACGGTATGAGAATAAGTAAAATCAATCAGTTAAAAAGATTGGAACAAATAGATGAACGAGAGTGAGAGAGAGAGAAAGAAGGAAAATAAAAAGTTTAGATATCCTGTTGTAATTTGATTGAATGGACACAGGAACCTTAGTTTTTCTTTTTCCTGTTTTATTCATTCGTTTAGAGTTTGTCGTCAAAAAAAAGATGACAGATAGAAAAAAAGAATGAGAAAGAAAATGTCGACATCATCGTTTTCATTAAGTACTTATACAACACATTTCTAAGCCATGGATTGTGTGTATGTTCGAACACAAGGGAGAAAATACAATAGTCATGTTAGTGCTAAATAGTCCGTGCATGAACAGTTACCACCCATATATAGACATATTCAACAAAACGGTTATCGAATCTGTCACATTGATGATAATTAATTCGTTTTCTTTCAACTCTTTTTTTTTCTCTTCGCTTTATACTCTTGTATGACATGTACAATGAACTTGTATAGTACATTGTATGCTATTCGTGATAGTAGTGTTATAAACATATTTTTCTTTTAATGACATGTTACATATGTGCGCTTCCATATAAAGAACACCCATGCTTTGCCTTTGTCTAATCTATTATTCACACAAACACATATTGTAAGAAGCATTATGAGAAGCGTTTTTGTTTCTTGTATTGATTTTCATGATGATGATGATGATGGAATGTTTGATATTATATATGTCCTATTTTTATCTATATTTTATAGTAAGATAATATCGTTCGATTATCTTATTGTGCTCACTTTTTTTTTCATTATAATACTGTCTCATTTTCTCTTTCTCTTTTGTATTATAGCTAATTTATATGTACAGTGAACACTCTCACGAGAACTGCTATTCACGAGTACAATCAGCTTACTGAGGAGAGCAGGTGAACAATGTGTGATAATTCTCGCGTGCCTTCATATACAAATGTGTCATCTCGTCCATGCCGTATACAATACAGTCGTTGGTCACTAGACGCACCAACAACGGAAACATCTATTGGTCAACCATTATCACAGCCAACGGCAATACTTTCTCCTTCTGTCTACTTTCCTCAAACACAGCAAGATAATCAAGTACTTATACCAAACTATGTCAATTATTATCCATCACCATCATCATTATCATCTCATTCATCCAATCATCAACGTACAAAATCAACAATTTTACATGATTCTACATCAAGAAATCAATCAAGATTTCATGTTAATGATTTTCGACAACGTTATGATTCCAAAGCAGTAGTTGGTATAGTTAAACCAATGGTTCATCAACGTTCATGTACTCAATTAAATAATAATACTAATAACAGTGAAACTAAAATTCCCGAGATTATGAGACATCCTTATCATTGTAATTCAACACGTTCATTATATCCGCAAATGACACCAACATCGTCGTCTCCATCAACGGCAGTTTCATCTATTATTTATCGATCTCGTCTTACACCATCATCGAATAATATAAATAGTCATCCACCTATAGCACCACGACGACATTCATCAATCAGTAATAGCAAATGTTTGTCATCATATCGTTCATCACGAACAACATCAACATCATCATCTGTTGCTATTGCTAATGAACTTTCATCAACAATATCATCATATGAACATGAAAAACAACAAAATAATAATAAAATTATCATTGATATTAAACGTCTTGAAATGTTTTATGGAAGTGTTGGTACATTGGTTAAATCGGCCTGTTCAACAGCTCATCTCTATATAACAACAGCACGACAACTGGCTGGTTTTGATGATTGGTCATGTCAACAACGTGGTGTACCAGTATGGATATATAATACCGTTCGTATTCATCATTTACTGACAAGAAATGTATATAACTTGTAAATTTTCTTTTCTCTCTATGTATTTCAGGGAGCTAATTTAAAACGTGCACGACAAGTGAGATTATTACTTGCTCAACATGACAGCTGTTTTGCTATATGGTCAGATCTTGTTTCTGAACGAGCTGAGTTACGTTTACCAAAAGATAATTATATCACATGCTGGTTACCAGAATCAAATTTACTTACTGTATTTAAATTTGAATGTGATAATGCATGTCGATTATTTTTTCAGCATTATTATGAAATATTAGAATATGATCGACGTATTCATTTGACAAACTCATCAGCATCGCCTCCTGAAAAAACTATACAACAACAACGAACTAATACTACAACAACTAACAGTAAAGATATTCCACGTCGTTATTCACGTTTAAGAACTATAGCAAATAAACAAGATAAGGAACAACAACAGCAACAACAATTTGAATTACGTCGTTGCCGTAGTTTATCAAAAATTCGAACAGTTAAAAAATCAGCTATATCAGGACCAATTAATTTTGAACATGTTAATCATCTTAGTCTTGGTTGTAATCAAGAACAATCATTATTAGGTACGGCAACGTTACGTTCTTTGCATGCATCAATGTCACATTTGCCATGTAATGGTACATTAACTGATCGATTTTCAAAACAAAGTAAAAAACGTGCTTCTGCTTTATTTGAATCACGCACAACAGCAGTTTAAGTAATTTTCTTTTTCTTTTTCTTTGGTATTGTCAAGTATAGTTTTTTTTGAACAAGTTTAACAAAAAACAAAACTTATGTAATTCTTATTTTTTTTTAATCATAAATATATATATATATACTATTTGTGTTCAGAAAAAGAAACACTTATTCGCATTATTGAATGAAATATGAAATGTTTCTCTATTAATTGAATAATGTCATGTTATTATATGTAATAGATTTGAACATACAAAAAAAAGAAAAGAATTTTTCCTAATTTTTCTTTTCGTTATCTATAATCAATCAAAATTAATTTCTCGCTCTAAATTTAATTTTTGGCACATTATTTATACTATATTAGTTATGACATGTTCCTTTTTCGAAGGTATCACAATTGAATATATGGAATAATTTTAATTTAAAACCATCCTTGTTATGAGAATAGATATAATAAGAAAAATTTGGATAGTTGTTTGATAAATAGAAGCTTAAAATTAATATAAATCCTTTCGATATAGTCGATTGTTTCTTTCATGACATATGAATGTCCTTTTACATTATAGGAACTATAAGTTCAAGGATGAATATTAAAAACTAATTTTTTAGACACTTTTTTTTGTCAAAAGTTTTTGTATCATTTGATTTTTTTTTATATTAATTTGTCTAGTTATTGTAGCTTGATCCTATATACTCATTATGCTATTCATCGAGTGTCGCATGGAAGGTACAAGAAAGTAATAAAGTGTAATATATTGAACCTCTTGAGATCTTCGCGTATTTAATTTGCATGTGAATAATAGTTTTTCTCAAAATATAAAATGTACTCACGATTAAATTAGTTAAAATAATACTTTCACGTATATGTAAATTTAAACCAATGTATTATGTAAAATTGTATATAAAATAATAAATATATGTGCAATGTAAGTATTCGATAAGTTTTTTTATCATTATGGTTTTTAATCAATTAGTGAATGATCAGATTACTTCTTGAATTAATTAATAATGAATAAAGTTGAAAGAAATTTATATTTATATTTATCAATTGAAAGGACTAACTCGTAGTTAATCCGAACTTGTATTTTATTAATTTGTGACAGAATGATTGTCCGAATAAATAGCAGGATTTTCAATCAATCAAAAATTGGAATATTTATCGCCATTCACAATAAAATATTCTGACAAGTATTGTACAATCTTTAGTTTTGAAAACTATAGGATATTTGAATACTAATATTATTGTCTATTTGCGCCATCTATTAATGCTAAGTCTATGTGGATAAGTATTTGAGTTCAATCAATTTAGGTGATGTAGTAGCATATGATATGACACTTACGAAATATATATTTACTTTCTATAAAATAATTTACATTTATAGCCTTGATTCAATGTACTTTGAAAGCGATTGTATAGATAGGTACACCGATTTTTATCTAGTATCCTTCAAATATTAATTGATTATTGGTATATAATGTTCTGTTCCTCATTAAAAAAAAAAAGTATTTTAAAAACATAAGAATATAAAGCTTGTACAATTATGTTTAATATTTTGAATAGAATATTGATTTTATTCGTCTATAATTCTTTATTCTATACATTTTTAGATTGACCATATATGATAGATGGTGAATTATTTACATTAAATATGATGAAATCTATCAAACTATCTTAATTAATCAATTCTTGAGGTAATCTTCATCATTTATTATAACCGGCTATTGCATCTCATTTCTTCCTTTGAGATTAAAAAAAAATCATATTTATCACGATATTAAATTGAGCTCGTTTGTTCTGTGATAAATCATTTTAATGGACAATGTCTATATTATATCATAGCTTTATCAAATAAACTGACATGCATATACTCTATTCGATTGTCTATTATATATAAAATGATTTCAAGTGTTGGTCAATAATATTGAATGCAAGAAAAAAGATTATTAGAAAAGTGATTGTATCCTTGACTTTACTCATATATATGTATATAGCCACATGATGTCGACATTTGTTCATTCTCACTTTCTCTTTTATATTGATGAGTAATCGACACCAACAAGCTGCTGTTTTAAGGCTATTGCCGTTCAATACAATATTCTTACGAGTGCATTCACATAGATTACATGATTACTTTGTTCGTGTCTCTCTTCCTTCACTATGCCTTATGTATGTGGGTGTGTGTTTGTAGAGTTGGCCTTCACATCCGTATGTCAACGTCGGACGAGTTGATCAGTATGAAAAGAAAAAAAACTGGGAAGAAAAAAAACTTCCATTCGTCCGCTACCGCTTAGATTCTGTGTGCATTCAAGACACTGGGCGACTAGTGTGTATCGTGTGCGTGAGTGTGTTGTCGCTCAACATCGAAGACCGACAGGCATTAGATTAAGTAAAGAAAAGAAAGGAGAGAAAACCGAGACAGACATGCAAAGCAAGGCTATAGAAGGTGTCCCCCGTCGTGCAAACACATACATACACACTACTCGCTCTTGATCTTTCTTGCTATCATCCTTCGTTTGTGTTGGTCGA